CAGTGCTGGCGTCGCCCGCGGAGAGCGCGTCATCTGACCTCGCGCAGTGGGGCCGCCCCGGAGGACGATTACACGCCTCCGCCTCCGCCTCCCGCACACGCGCGCGCGCGCTCACGTTCAGCGACGCTCAGTATGCCCGGGCGCCTCCGCGGATCTCCGCGCGTTGACGTCGTCGCCGGAATCTAGGGATTTCCAAGCAGCAGGAAGACATCCGCTCGACGTAGATATTCGGCGTGAGTAGCCAACGAGGATGTTGCTGACGGCGAGTGTTTAATTTTAACGTTGGCGCTGCGCGGAAGAGGACACTAGCGACGCAATTGTAGTAGTTGAAATGTGTTGGAGTTTCTGGAACGTAAACATTTAGCGAGCATTAAAACAACTACTGTATGTACCTGCACAAAACTATGGTTGAGTATTCAGTGTCGTCACCTGCGGCAAATTGTTCCGTAGGCGTAATGCATTAATACCCCGGACCTTTTCCTCGCCGGATCGCGTGCTCCGGCGTCAACCTCCAAGTACCTTCTCTAGCAACTGGACTATGCTCTAAGTTACCAACTAAGTTACATGCTCTAAGTTACCAACCTCCGCCGTAACTGGAATAAGCCCTAAGCTACCGACTCTTCGGATACGAGTGATAGGGTAGTGCATGTAAGTGTGCGTGTGTGTTCAAGGGAAGATGAGTCAAGGATCAGGAAGGAAAGATCGCGTGCGGTCCGGTTCGCGACTCGTTGCTCCGGCATTCGCCTGATGTCGCCGGAGAACTACAGAAACGTTTAGAAAAGAAGAACTTAACAAACAAGCAGCCCGTAGAATTCTCCGCCACACAGGTGCTGAATTCCACCTAGGTATACTAGGTCATCTGGTGTCAAAAACCGGCCACCGTTAGGACTCGAACCCTCGAACCTCGAACAGAGACGCTGTAGCGACAAAGGATGTTATCACTTAGCAACTCAACCGTTAAGTTTAGTCTATGTTACGATTTTTTTAAACGAATTATTTAATCTAGCAACGCAGAAAATTACAAATGTCAAGTTATAAAGCAACTAATATGAATTCAACAATAAACTTAGAAAAACGGCAGCGACGAAGGCGTTTGACGACGACGAGGTGGCGATGGTTGGACTAGTACCGATGGCAAGCAGTGTCCTTATTAGTCCTTTTCGTTGGACGTGAAAATGCAGGCTCGCGATACATCTATCCTACAGTTAACGATCATCGTTTTAGTAACGCTTTCCCAAGCATTTACAAATAAATGTAAAATCATTTTTTGTACTCCAAGTTATCGTTTCACAGTCTGAAGGATATAACACGAGTAAATATTATCGATATACTAAATTATGTCGAAAATTATTAAAAAAATAAAACTACTGGTTGTTCTTAAAATATTGGGATATCACACTTCGCATAAAAGTGTCAATACGACGCCCGTGTCCAAATGTTTACTCAAAATATTCCTTCTTTGAATTTGCTGTATTAAGGGTTTGTTACGGCTATACTTTAACAGAATGTTTTTGGTTTTCGAGAAATTGATAAGATTGCATCAGGTGGTGGAAATTTCGTTTCTGAGCACATTCAAAGAGTACCGACAGCTACCGTTTGTTCAGTGCAACACTTGGCAATACTATGTTCACTGACGCAACGGCTGGTAGAAGGCGCGTGAGAGCACATCTGTGGATCTTGTGAGTAAGGCACATGGTATGTTTCCTCGTCATCAAACAGATAATTGCTAAACCAAATAGTGTTAACTTACATTTTACACTTTTGGTATAGTTATTAATGCCAGGAGACAGATATAGAGCAAATAACGAACGTGGTTGAAGTTTGTAAAGAGATGCGATAGTCGGGGTTTATAACGAACCAAGTCCATTATTTGTAACGTTCGTCCTGTGTCGTTCAGTTCTTTACGTAATTCCACCTACCTATAAAAATTCGTAAGAAATACCACTTTTTAGGAATCGAAGTACTCCCGCGCTTTCTTTAGCTACATTTCATTTGTTTCGATAGGTCGGGAGGGAACTTGAATCTCAAACCGGAGTCGGCGTTAAGCGTGACTTTATGTTCTTCCATTTCGTTGCGTTAAGTCAGTAGAACAGTGCATTGTTTCGAAATATTAGTAGTGCTACGTTTTTGGTGCAAGCGAAATGATGGCAATGGCTATCGCTTTCTAGATGGCAAGCTTGAGATTCCGACGCTATTGTGTAAAAGCACCGGCATGCCCCTGAATGGGCGTGGGATTTTCATTGCGATGTGATTCAGGTGAAATTCAAGGTCGAGGCACATGAAATTAACACGAACACTCTCCCACGTCGCCGTATAATTTCCAGCAGGAATAAGTGACGTTCATTTGTTGAACATTTATGTAATATTAACATCAAACAAAAATGTATACGCCTATAAGCTAATAAAAATGAAAAACAATCATTCATTCTTGATGAGAATTCCATTAGTTCAGCAAATCTGTGGATAAGGTACATATTGATCTGCCGACGTGATGATTATTATAGCTTTTAATAAATGAACAAGAAGTAGAGTCTGTTCATTCTGAATATTAATTAGGGTAGGGATTTAAGAATTTAGAAAAACGTGCACTAAATACACTTCCCTCCTTAGCACATCACACGCAGTTTTTAACTGTTTTTGACGATAAATAAACAAGTCATACGTAGCAATAACATAAACATCCAAATCAGAATCGACAAGAGAATGCAAGTAATTAGTGCACGTGAAGTTCACTTAGAACTTCGTAGATTTATGTCGTCATCCGTCAAAATTTACCGACGTCCTCCGCCCTTAGATCTATCTTTGCCCTTTCACACTCTGATGCACATTCATCAATCTCCCATTTGCTCTTTTCGACGTGTTTTGCATTAATTCTAACAAAGTCGCTTTGGTGACGATATCCCAACAAACTAAATCACTAGTGAAAACTACCCAGCACTTCTAACTGCATTAACATTGCAACTGCAATTTGACATTTCCCTGCAACTGACATTTCCAGGGCATTAACACCTGGGATGATATGAATAAAATGAGTAAGTACTCCAGGGCAATTGCTCAAGAGTGTAAGTAGGAACTACCATTAGCAATTGCTTCTTTTCATATGAATTAACACGTTCTCAGCTAAAAATAGAGCAAGGTCGTGAATTTGCGCAGCAAGAGATGAACTTCTCATTATGATTTTCACTGTTAAAACTTAAGTAAAATGAAATGGTCAAAAAAAGAAACAATAAATCTTTGGAGGCTACGACGGTGCGTCGCAATTTACGGAACATTATGTGCAATGAGTATGGTATATGGGTATAAAAGTGCAATTCATTCTGGATGGTAGTGTTATGCAATCGATCAGAAAAATAGCCAGTACCTTCAGAAAATACAAAAATTGAACAAAGTCCACGTAATTCAAATACCTAGTTTATCTTCATCCATGTTCCTTTTCATAAAAAACTCTGCTGTCATGTAAACAAATGAGGACGGAATACCAATTCAATACACACATTTAGCACTTTGCGATACCCAATATGTAAACATTGTTGCCATAGGCCTGCGCAGACTAAAGGGCGACCCGAGAAGCCCGTCTCGAAATTGTGAGGGGGGCCACGGCACCGTCGCTAAATGATGCTGTTAACTGTTGCTGAGAGACGAGGGTGGAGAGGCGGCTTCAGAGGCATTACAAACGTTAACATTCGTTGCAGTCCGCCATGAGTCTGCCGCGCGCGCTGCCGCTGTGCCTGCTGCTGAGCTGCTTTAATTTGATAGGAGGGGGTACATCACATTCAAAAGTTAATTTTTTCATCATTGATTGTGACCTCCGATAGCGTAAAATAAGTCTTCTATCGTTTAGGTAGCGCTAGTAACGCACGATGTTTCCTTCCTCTTCCTTGCCCTATCCTCACACATTACTTACACACACAATAACATGCACTACAGTACCACATATGTCGAGAGATCGGTTGGGAGCTTACAGCGTGTCCCGGCTGGAACGGTGTTCCGCTGGAGGGAGACACCTGGTTGGGCAAAACCCCGCTAGCCAACGGTAGTTCTCGCCATCCGGCGGGGGAAGATCACCGCCATCTCCCGATGGAGGAAACACGTACTACACTTACGGGAACACGTCGCTAAATGTTGCTGTTAACTATTGCTGAGAGAGGAGGGTGGAGAGGCGGCTTCAGAGGCATTACAAACGTTAACATTCGTTGCAGTCCGCCATGACTCCGCCGCGCGCGCTGCCGCTGTGCCTGCTGCTGGGCCTGCTGCTGGTCGTGCCCAGCGCCCTGTGCAGCCGAAGGAGGCGCCCGCTCGCCCCCGCCCCGCAAGACCTGCAGCAGCTGCTGCCCTCGCGCCCCGACTACATCGAGTGCCAGGAGAGCGCCGAGTGCGACGCCGACCACTGCTGCGTGCTGGGTGAGCGCCCCGCTTCGCGATACTACCCAAAGCTAACAATCATTGATAGCATTGCCCGGGTCGTGAAATACTGCATGGTAGTTAGTCTCGTCAAAGTAGTGCATGTTGTAACCCAGAATCAGGCGGTGTTCCTCCCTACGTGTGATCCGGCGCAAACCTACATCTCGGCTTTCTCGTGCAAGTGACTGTTCGAGCGCGGTACCGCCCCAGACGTTCGTCACTGTTTCTCGTCGTGTGTGTTAGCATAGAGTACGTAAGGGCAAGTGAGTGTGTGTTTATAAGAAAGTGTGTGTAAGGGGGAAGGAGAGCGTCATGAATGAGGAAGGAAAGATTGTGCCCTGTACTTGGTTTGATTTGATAACGCACAGTCCCGAATTTCGTCTAGTATTGATCGGAGAAATTAGTACCGGCGGCCGCTAGTGTTCTCCTCCAAGCAATGGAAGAATGCGTGCCTCTAACCGTGAGATCCTAGGTTCGAGTCACTACGGCGATAGGATTTTCGACACTAGCTAGTCAGCTATGTTGAATTCAGTTGCAGATTTCCGACACCATCGTGATTCGAACTGTAGGATCTCACGATCAGCGTCGCTACAGAGGCAATGGCAATACCGCCAATAAGCCATCGTATTCGGCCCGATAGTGAGAAATTTATAAACTTGTATTACGTAAAAGAAAATGTGTGTATGGGTGTGTACATGAGGAAGTAAAACCAGTACAGAAACACGTTCGCTTTCAATCAGGCTGACAATCGTTGCAAGCAGACTCCACAGCGCATAAAACCAAACGACCCTGCTCATTGCCCAACTCAGTTTGCACGTTTTTTTGTTGGGTCGCAGGCGCCGACCGCTACAGCATCCCCACGTGCCGGCCGATGCAGACGTTGGGCAACGTGTGCCGGCCGAGCGGGCAGGTGCCCTACAACACCACCGTGGGCTACCCCGACCAGTCGCAGGTGGAGCTGAGCGTCTTCTGGCTCTTTTGCCCGTGCGCCGAGGGCCTCTACTGCCAGCGCGAGTCGCACTCGTGCCAGGCCGTCTACTGAGCCACCAGCCCACACAGTTTTGACTCTCCGTTTAAAACGTACGGAGAACTAACTGAAGGGTTGTGGATTACAATACGGTAACCCACAATTAAAAAACTCACTTTTTAGGTATCAGGGATCCCCAGAGAAATGTATTTCCGTTGAAATCTCGAAATCGATTTTCCGCAGCATTACATAACTTTTCCTACACTAAGTGTATTATTCTACTCTATATATACGTACGTATACGAGAAAGTAAAAATGAAATGAATAGTTGGATCATGGGATATGTTTCTTGAGAGAATGAAGCCAAATGGTTCTTAAAACAAAGTTTTAAACAAGTTTTTTTTGCTTTGTTTAATATTGCCTCGTGTGGGTTACTATATTCTTGTCCACAACCCTTCAATTGACAGCGACCAGTTGGATAGCGGTTATCCAAGCGGGAGCTTTGCTACAAGTCCATTTTTAATATTGAAGCTATCTAAATATTTAAAAAAATAGCTTTTTTAGACCGCCGTTAGGAAAAGCGGTTACTTTTAGAGCATGTAAAACGTGAGAAAAATTTAAGCATACTGTTAAAGGTAGACGAAGCACAAATGTTGCAACTAAAACTGTGAATACAACAAAGGAACCAAAATACTTTCGTCTGAACACATCAGCTACTACTAACGTCAATGTACCAGTGAAATGTAAGCTTGAATTAAAATAACTTTTAATAAGAAATAATAAGTGTTGGTAAGACTTTCAAAACATAGTGCATGACACACATGATAAAAGTGATTTAATGTTGCACTGAGGATTGCACCACTCGGCCTGTCGGCCTCCTATCGGACCATTTTCTACTCGCAAAATAAAATGCCACTCTTACCACTCATATCATAAATATTAACTAATATTATTCTTTTCAATTTTGAGTTTTGGGGTCAACATTTGATGCATATCGCTAAAAATAATATGTTTTATAATTTATTTTTCTGGCACGCGTTTAGTGTAATAGTACCTGTAATATTTTTGAAGTTTTCTTAAATATTTTATTTTGATTCACAGTATTGAAGAGCTTACACAATACACACTTCCCTTGCTTTCCCAAGTCGCTTAAGACAAAAGCTAAAACGTTATTTTCGAATTCGTAAGCCAGAGGAACTACATGTTTAAGTTGTGTATTAGATTGTTACTAAAATTATATCAGAAAATTCTTAATTTTTCAATTTTATCCATAAACAAGTCACATTATTATTGTAAAAATATTGAGATGTAACGAAGCTTTGGAATGGATAACCTCGTATCTAATGATCAAATGTCAATTTGCCGTATGTTTTAAACGAATGAAATATATTCACTCTTAAGAACAAACCTGTTGCTAAGGGAATCTCAGTGCCGTACTATGCTTCTGGTTAGGTAACTGCTCGCGCGTTGAGAGCGCAATGTTTGTGCAGACCTCTTTTACAAAGCCATCGAGTCTTTTCAAGCAGTGGTGGTATGATCGTACGATTGATTTCGAAAAAGGTGCTCAGTTATGAGATTAATCTTTTTTTCCTTAACTTTATTTCGCAAATGTAATAGAAGAACGAAATTGGAGCTAATGAATTGTAATTTTTATGCAGCTCTTTTCCAACAAAAACAATTTATATTAAGTTAATTCATTATATTTTCTTTTGGATAGATTAAGTGCTTTTGTGTAGAGAGCAAAAAAAAATTGAATTTTTCTGAACTCATTCAGAAAGGGTTTGCACTATAAATTAGTTCTTGAAACCATGTATAACTTCATTTCACTCTTTGTAATAACCCGGAAATAAGTAAAAAACGTCAACAACAACAATTATAAGGAACATTCAATCTGCAATGTGAATTGAAAATGCAATTGTCTATTGCAAATGTTCATAGTATTTTTATCTTACTTTTTCAACAAATTATAACCCGATAAACTTTAAATAACAATTTTCAATTAGAGTAAGCAATAGTCATCCTATTAGTCATGCACTGACATTAGGTATTCTGTACTGACATATATTTGTCACTATACTTAGTAATAATATTAATATTATCAGTTTTCATTGGGGATGGCAGATATAGGATCTCCATCACCGTTTTCCTAGTCATTTACAAAAGATGTGGATTCAATACGATGTTAATTTTATATTATTTTATTTTCTTTACTTTATCAACTTTGTGTATTTAAAAAATAACGCACTGAATTAGAACATCGAATACTATAATTTATATCTGCATTTATGTATTTTTAGTATTTGTGTCGATGATGGATAAATAAAGATTTTAAGAAGACATTTATGGTCTATGTCGTTATAGAGTTTAATGTTTATTTCTTCATTTACTGAAAAATAGTAAAACTGTATTCATGAATGAGGGATTGAAATACTATCTTCCCAAGTTTTCTCGAGCTCCAGATTCCAGCCACCTCTCTTTTAATATAGGTAGTTGAATTGTGAATGAGTTAAGTTGGCAAAATTTGAAAGAAAAAATATTCTGTCCTTTGCAGTATGGCATCGGCGAACGAGTTACACACTGCATTGTACAGTATTACTGACGAAATAACAACCCCTCCTCCATTACTGCGATAGTGAACAAATGAATTCTGCATTTGCACGTTTCTACGATAAGTGAGGTGTTGCTAGCGATATACTGTCTATTTAAACAATATTCGTACACCGTGATTTGAGAAAAGATGGCAAATAATTCCCCTGAACCCATTATAGCTCTGCCTGAACTAATAGTTACCTGATATCACACTGTCTGCCAAAATCTAAAGCGAATTTCCACTAATGACCTAAAAATACCTAAAGAAATTATGTTCGGTGAGGAAGTTGACGCAACGACTTTCAGTGGCGACCCCTTCAGATCGTCAGTAAATATGATTCCGGGAAAAGAGGTTTGGTAGAATTCCAGGAAAATGAGGTTAATTATGTTTATTCATGACTTGTTTTTTCTTCAAAACATAGTATATATTCCAGAATGTGCAAAATATTTGCAAATTTTGGACATATTTTGTTAATGATAATTTGAAATTTACTTTTAAAATTGCGTTACTTGAAACTGTATCTCGACATTTGTAACTTGCAAGAATTGAGTCAAGAAGTTAATTTCAGTTCCCCAAAATTACGGACTTGGTACACTGAATGCATTTTGACACGTTATTTTACAAACTTTATAAAATATTAAATGTATTACATAAAACCCTCGGAATAAAATATGTAATTCTATTTTTAAATAAGCATTGTGATATTAAGCATTGTGAACCAAAACTTATAGTAGAATGGGTGAATCCAGGAGAAAAACTAGAATAAATTTTTGAATCTATCTTCGAAAGGTGGTCAATTTAGACCCGATCACTCCATATAAACCTCTTACAATATACCAAAATTGGCCAAAAATGCTAAAAATTTCGAAAAAATCAAAAACTATGCCGAAGGAAATGCCATGTTGGAGTCGATTCCTGCTACCATCCTGCTACAACCACACCCAAAAATATTTCAAAAATACATTGAAAATTGGTATGTAAGTAAAATCTCACTTGTAAATTAAAATTTTAATGGATAACGGACCCGGAAATATTGTTACCCCCTCTTGTTTTAGGCATTGCACGCCTCTGCGCACAGCGCGGATTTACGTTTCTCCTCAAAAGCCGCAGCGCTCGCGCGCAAAAACTCCGGAAATCGTTCGGTAAATGGCAGCACGTAAATGAGACCAGTCGATAAAATATACATGTAAAAAAGGAATAACTTCCTATGAATATTTTAGTGTAACTGTACGCTTCGAAGTGCTATTTTCGGTATTTATAAATTATTAACTGAAAAATGTAAATTATTTAAGCGAACTTTTCAGATTCAAAGAAATATGCTTTATTTTTTCTGAGTTTTTTCGTTAATGCCTTTGTAAAAATTTACATGTTTCTTCATTTATCAAATAACTTTAGTGACATTAGAAAATTAAGGATTTATTTCAGGAAAAGTTGCGGTCTTATTTAAAACATAAGGAATAAGTAACAGTAATCATTAGATGGAATAATTAATTGGATGGAATAATTAATAATTTTGAACTGTTAAATATGTACAATATTTATACAACCGTTATTATTTTTTTAAATATATTTTTACTACAATCCCAAAAACTGGTGAATCTATTCGTAAATCGAATTTACCGCCTGTTGGCCCCCCTCCACCTCTTCCTTTCAATGCCTAAAAGGAACGAACACAGGAGCGCTACCGTCGCGCTCGGCAACAGATGGCATCGTATCTCTGGCGTGTGTCATCGTGTCTGTGGGCGTCTGTAAGTGCTAGCAGTTCGAGAACCAGCCGCAAACAATGAGCAACGCAGCAGCAGATGCCGGCGGCGAAACACGCCGCCCGAAAGTGGTCGTTACTAATGGCGAAGTTCCTAAGGAGGCCATCCAGCTGCTGAAAGAGACGTAAGCTTAACCTCACTAGACCATCGGCACATGCCCTCTCATGTCGACAGTCAAATGCCATTCAACAAGTGCAGCATTGTACTTCAACTGAGGGAAAATAAGAAAACGGCAGTATGCCGACTGCGTGTACATTGTTGTGGGTTGGATATTTTGCCGAATTAATCTTGCAGCACCTTTCTAGTATTTTACTAATTTAAATGTTTAAAAAAATAATTGTACGAAGATTGCAAGATGTGGTTTCAAATAATTCTAACATTTAATTTTTACATTTTGTTTACACAATTTCGTGTGATTTTTATCTGTATTAAATTTCCTTAACCTTCGAATTTCAAAAGGCGTTCGCACTAAATAGCGACTTTAAAAATGAAATCAATGTTTTTTATTCCAATATTTTACACGCCATGTTTTATTAAAAAAATTTAGAAAATATTAATAGCTTTCATATCAATACATAAGTAGAGATATTAAATACCAAGCAAGAAAATGATTTCACTAACCCTGCAAATCATTGGGAGAAAAGGTTTCAGTGAAGCAAAAGTTACTCTTTTTAACAATGCTAATAATGGACTACATATGAAATATAATACATTTTGTAATGTTAATACGTAAGCGTAACTCTACAATACATGCAAGAGATAAAGGCGTTAGATAACTACAAAGATCTTGTGATTGCGTAGGAAGATACAAAGACCTTGTTTAGGATACTTTTCTGAATTCTTGATAGCGTGCTGTCTGCCGGAGAAGCGTTAGAGAGCATATTAAACATTTATATAAATACATGCTGAGCATTAATAATTTTCTTCAACACCTACGAATTTTATTCAATTGAGGGTTTATTCACGAAAAAACATGTTTCTACAAAGATTTTTATTTATCTATGAAAATAAATAATGGTTGCGGTCTTTTATTTTTCCCGAGGAACTAATTCTCTTAAGGCTATTTGGTGTTGAATAAAAATAAGAATGAATTTCTTGAGAGGATTTCTTAAAATGTATTTTTATAAAAACGTTTTCTCGAGAGAAAATACTTTCTACGGATGTATTAGTGCCGCGCAAATGTAAAGTATAATCAAAACACAAACGATAAGTTCGATTCAAATAATTGGGAATTAAGTCCGTGCAATGACTTTGAGTCATATTATTTCCAGTGCTCTATTGTGACACTTGCTGCCATTCACACCTGGAGGAGTCAGGGGGACCGTGCTTCCCTGAAAATTCTAAAAGAACCCCCGTAGCCCTACGTAATAAATCATTCAATTTTCTTAAATTTGTCCAATCCCTGAATCCCCCCTTTTTAGCCAGACAATTTGGAAAATAGTATACTATATTTGGGATAAAAGCTCTCCAAGTCATCTATTTTTTTCTTTCTTTGTTTAATGTCAGAAAACAATAGAAAACTATGTGAGTCGTATTATGGAAGGGTGCAATCTGTGGAAGTTTTCTTGAGCTTCGGAGCCTCTACCTTAGCTCTTACATTATATTAAGTAGAATTATGAATTATTAAGCAATAGTTATTACCGAGACCTTTGGTTAGTCATTTAGTTATTTTAGTCCAGGATAGCTTTTTCGGATTGACCTCATCAGTTCCCATCTACTGCCACCCAAAGGACATTTTTTCATATTTTCTCAATTTGTCAGTCCCAAGTAGTAGAAATGAAATATGTCAAAGAATATTTTAGAAGAGGAAAATAGTGATATATAAAAATTAACAAAGAAATAATTGTGCTGTTCTGAAGAAAATTTCGTTCGAACATTTCTAAATGTGCGCGCTTTGGACTTATTTCTCAGGGAAGTTTGGAGTTTTCGAGAATCTTCATCAGAAATTATTTGAAGAAATTCTGTTTACAAGTGCAACAATGTAAAATAAATTACAATAATGTAAATATTAAGGACGTGATAAATATTTAAAATCATTTGTGTAATTAAAAAAATGAAAAGAATAAATGAAAACGGCGTCATTGACACATCAGTGCATTTAGCACTATCCATCCAACCACTTCAAGAAACAATTTGGAGGCGTCTTTGAGAAAATGTTCATGAATATTGCTTCTCTGAATATATGGAATTTTGAGTTCACAGAAAAGTATTAAGTTTTTAAGACACTTTATAATATACAGTCTGAAGCACTGGTACTCACAAGCAATATTGTATATAAATAGCCAGTAATGCAAGTATTCATGCGTGAGAGATATTTAAAAAAAATTAAATTTCTGTAATTTTTTAGAACAAAATAATACAGAACATGGCATTTATCTGTTATTCACATTTAACTGTTATCCGTACAAAAAGGTTACAAGAACAAATTTGAAGCGGTTTTTGAGAAAACTTTGTTTTTAAAATTGTCTTTATTTATTTTGAAAAAATGTATATCTTCGTATTTAAAGATGTAATGTGAAGAACGAATTTTACATAGAGGAAAAATATTTATCTTTAATAGTGTTGTTGCAGGAAGATGCCGAACAAAATATGAATTATTGTAATTTTCAAAACTTCGAATATTTCAACGAAACGAAGATTTTAAACGTCATTCCGTTATTCCAGGACAAGGTTTAATAAAAAAAATTAGAGCTATTTTTGATAAAATTAAAACATCGTCAAATTGAAAGGGACGACATCAGCCAGATAGATTGTGGGCAGTGCCTCCCTGAAAACTGATGAAAATTGGTGAAAATCCTGCTTACGGTTTAGCCTCTAGTATTCTTTACAGTTAGTCGGACAGACGTTTTGCCATCAACCAATTATTCGTTGTCAAGGAACCACCAAACGTGAACTCTGATTACAGAACAGCTTAGATGACGTAATTTGATATATATATATATATATATATATATATATATATATATATATATATATATATATATATGGAAACAGAAGTTATCAACTTTTTCGGTATCAAGGACTTAAAATAGGAATATTTCTGCAGAAAAATCGCCGTTTTTCGCCGCAGTATTTTATAACTTTCTCTAAACTACACGTGTAGTATTGATGCGATTACTAAAAAGATCCCTCTTCAATATTGTAGTTTAGGAAAACGCAAAAGAAAAATTGAAGTTTTGGAATTTTCGAAAATTAAGATATACGCCATTTTATAAGGCGTTTTTGCTGTTTGCATGGAGAAAAAAAAATAAGAAAAACTAAAAGTATTTTTTTAGGAAAAATAGAAAATTTTGTTAGAGATTCTTGTAAGATACTCCTATTTCTAAAACAAAAATAGTCGTTTCCAATTCACTAGGGGTTGCGACATCAGCCAGATCGATCGGGAATTACTAATTTTGTTGAATATCGCGTCTACAAGTAGTGTTGTTCACAGACGGACACAGACGATTTTCCTTAAAGCAATTATTCAGTTTCAACTTTCCGGTTTGTTTCTGACCACACATGTTAGAGAACGTTATTTACTAAATAATAGGAACACGACTTATCGATTTTCCGTTACCAGGGACTCAAAAAACAAGTTTCCCCTTCGAACACTCGTTTTTTGCTGCAGCATTTACAATACTTGCTCTGTACTACATAAGCGGTATGCGATAGACTAAAATGCTTAATGGGAAAGGGGGCCCACAAATACAGTTGGTACCCTTTTGTTTCAGGCTGTGTCACCTAAGTCTGGTGCGGAGTAATGAACTTAAAAACGCGTCAATACTCAGCTACCGAAGAATTTCTTGATTTTCTCAAGCATTCTATGCAATGTGGCTACAGTTTTTGAAATCGGATCATTTAGGCGACCCAAAACTGGGTCTGGGGACAACGGGACGTTCTTATGTTTTCATCCACTTTTAACACAATTTGTGTTTTAATAGTTTTTTCTAGATGTGAGTGTCCGTCAGTGGAAGAAATAAAATTTTACTTGCAAATTTGTCATTTAGTAGTACCAGAGAGTATATAGAGGTGATATCTTAGAAGCTATTCATAATATCAATGTCAATAAGGAAAGAACGTTTCATCTCTACAAAGCTTTATTAAGGGAAACAAATATTAATATTAACAAGTGAATAATTAAAAACTTTCCTAAAAGCCTTATTACTAATGTACCGCTTGTAAAAACGTCAAACCCTAATTTTTACGTAAACATGTTTTGGTCGAAATCACCTTCATTATCGAAATTAAAATAAGTCAAAAGATATACTTTAAATTATTTCTATGACTTAGGCAATCAAGCCCGATTTTAACAACCTGAACTATGATTTTTTGATTTCAATAATAATTGTTATTTTTGTATCCCAGACTTCTCACCACGACATTACTACATCGCAAACCTTCGACAGAGTAAGGTCTATCGTAAAAAATCACGACAAGTTACGCTCAATACTTTCAAGAGGATGATTACTTAATCGCTTACTGGACCACCTGAGATTAGAGAACAAGATAATGACATTCCGGTAGGCTTCACTTCATAGGAATCTGACTTTTAGATTATATAGTGCGAATGTTTTATAACTTTCTACTAATAAAATTCTTGGCACAATACTCGTTTTAACAAATTATATATTGTACATGGCTATTCCGAAAACACGGTGACCATAAGAACGAACTGATTTCCAACTAACTTCTAAAATATTTAATATCAGTGTGTCAAAAACCTTTCCCAAAATCAAATGACGTTTCAAGTTTGTAGGAGACACAAAGTTGCACAGGAAACACTACTTGAGTGAATCATTTCAGACAATCGGTATAATACCGCTATGCTTTATCACTGCTGACTTAAATTATATTTGACGTAAATGTATTTCAATAGTACTACATTATTTACATTATTAATTTTTGATATTCTATTTTTATTAAAATTACAAGAACATTCTTTGAAATATCCGTTCATATAAAAACACGTACACTTATACAGATGAGTAATGAATATTTCGTACAAATAAAATGTCGGGTAAATGAACAAAATTTAGAGCTTCAAGTAAAGATGCATTGGGTCCAAGTTTGTCAAGTACTTCCCAGTTTTACGTTAGAATCCGTCACTGACCATGAAGGACACGGTGTAACTGGAACATTTTCACAATTTTTAAAAAGGGCCTTTTTGTCAGAAAAACGCGGTCCCAGATTCCAAAAAAGTCCACTTTACTTGTGTAGAATATTAAAGTATAACACACGAGGGAGTTGAATCAAAAAGCCATAAATTGTTTAAAATATGATTTCTCAATGCTCTAAATTAAGAGCACCGTTGCCAGGGGCGTCTCTACAATGTGAGCTGCAAAATCCCCACGTATTCTACTCCACTGTTGTTATTTTTTAGGCTTTGCTGTAAGAAGACAGCTTATATATCTTTGGATGATACATAGTCTGAAGCCTGTTTTACACGATCATTTTTTCATCATTTTTCGCCGCTACAGAAGAGATACAGGCCAGACTGGATGTAATTTGTACGAAAAAATAACGCATTTTTCATTTTTCGGTACAGATTTCATCCAGTTTGACTACCGCGCTCCTGGCGGCACTTTACGGGACTTTCTCTGGCTTGTTATGCGTGTGGAGCGATATGTTCATTTTGTAGTTGCGTGAGAGCGTTCTGATGTGTTGAATTGTAATGTGAAGTGGTTATGTAGTGAGAAATAAAGTATTTACTGCATTCTAATATTGTCACATCCGTGCTCGGTCCTAAAATAACCTAACTTAATTTGATACCACAGATGCGATGTTCAAATGTTTGAACTTCAGCGCTATATGCGCCGTCCGGAGGAAGTATTTTCTTCATGATTACGTACTAAGACAGAAATGACCGTGTAAAACGCTCTCATCCAGTTTCGGCACCGAAACATCCTGCGTAGAAACGAACGTCCTTTTTCCATCCACTTTTTGTACAGAAAAATGATGAAAAAATGATGCAAAAATGACCGTGTAAAACATGCCTTGAGTTTACTCTCCTCGCGATTAATCCGCGAACCCAGCCGGGCGCGCAGCGCTCTCCGAAGATTTCGAGAGCTGCAATGTGAAGCCCCTATACATTTGTAGCATTGTGCGGGGAGTCGCTCGCCCGTAAGAGACCATGCGAGCTGCGCTTGAAGCAGTTCTAGGGTTCCGCACAGCCCCGATCTTCCTCGTTGCACGACGTTAGCTAAGTTGTAAGCAGTGACGCGACCAAGTACGATGATATAGTCGTAACATAAGGAATGATAAATTGTGGATTCACACAATCAAATCTTTAGATTTTCAGTCAAAATCGAAATTGTTTAATTATTTTACTATTTTACCCCGAGTTCTTGGGTATCTAACAAAGCATTGGCACCTCTCACAGGGCGGTCGATATTTCGTCTGATGGATATATTCAAAATTAGTTTTATAGATTAAGTATAATTTCGAATGCATTCGTTGTTGGCTACTTCGTGAAAGAATTAGTATCCATTTAATATAATATAATATAATATAATATAATATAATATAATATAATATAATATTATGATTTGTTCAGAACATTAAAATATGAAAACATTAAATAATTCATTATAATAAAAAATAATGAAAATAGAACCACAAAATACAGTGAAGTATATGAGAGGAATATAACACAAAATGAAATACAAAATATTGAAGGCTCAACCTGTAAACCAAGATTGACATGTGCAACCGAATTCGCAAGCGCTGTTCGCGAAACCGCCCCGCTGCTTGGGCAGGAGGATCATGGCGCAGTGCATCGAGCCGCCGCTGCACAGGCCGAAAATTGAGTAATAAAATAAAGTAGATGATAATATGCAAATAAAATAAAATACAAAAATAAGGCTAACCCTGCAAGAAGATTGATTTATGCACCTCTCCGTAGCAATGATCACGCACGTACATCAAATTCGCATGCGCCGTTTCCGAAAACCGCCCCTCTATTTCCGCAAATGAGACATGGTACAGTGCTATGAGCTGTTGCCCAAACCGAAAACTAAGTCAATATAAAATTTAAAATAAGGTAGAAGACAATAGGCAAATAAACTAAAATAGAACATATCGAAAACTCACCTCGCAATCATTGATTGAATAAAGCATCGCTCCGTTGCACTGATTACACATCCGCAACGAGTTCCCGTATCCCGTTTCGAAAAAGCCCCTCTCGTGGCGCAGGTGCGACGTGGTGGAGTGCAGCGAGCTGCCGTTGCCGACGCGCGCCGACATCCTGCGGCGGCTGCCGGGCGCCGACGCCGTCATGTGGGTGGCGAAGGCGCGCCTGGACGAGGAGATGCTGCGCGCGGCCGGGCCTCAGCTGCGCGTCGTCTCCACCATGTCGGCGGGCTACGACCACGTGGACGTGGCGGCGGCGCGCGCGCGCGGCGTGGCCCTGGGCCACACGCCCGGCGTGCTGGCCGGCGCCGTGGCCGAGGTGGCCGTGCTGCTGGCGCTCGCCGCCGCCAGGCGCCTCACCGCCGGGCGGCGCGCCATCGAGCAGTGAGTGCAACGCGAGGCTCCGCGCATTCGACGAGAGCACAGAGATTCGGCTCGCCCAATCCCCAACAGATGATGTGGTCGGCGAATGTTCGCTCCCTTTTATGTGTCCATAGACCGACACGCGTTGGGTAGGGCGAATACCGAATGTTTGGCGCTCAGCGAATCGCAAGCGACCCGTACGCACTACTCGGAATTCGCTGAATGCCGAATGTGTGGAGCTGCCGTAAGGATAGACAGACCACTGTAACTACTGTTTTGAACACCCTAGCGCTAACTAAAATTATTTCAACGTTACATCTCTGAGCAAACCTTGAAGCCTAAACAAATCTCCGAACCTTAACCGTGTTCACGGGTAGGAATGCAGGCGCAGATCCACGGAGATGAAAATGAGACAATTTTATTTTGAGAAAAATGAGACAATTTTTCAGTAACTATAAATTTAAATTGTCACAAAACCTTCATGCAAAAATATTTTCAGATAATCATTAAAACGAATAAAATCGAATCGCAGCATGAGCTGAGTGTAGCCTGCGACATTTTACAAAATATGTAAAGACACATTCGACCAAAACATTTTTAATTTCCCCTCCCAAAATGTGTGTCTGGATCCGCCCCTGTACTCCTGGGTAGGGATGCGACATCGATGTATTGAAACCGATGTTATTTGAATATCGATGTTTTGGGTTCGATGTTTTTACGTTTTCAATGTTTTTTCGTGGATGAAAGGTGCCCATAATCACAATTTTGTGGAAGTTAAAATAAAAACCGATAACTGATTATACAAATATGTTTTTTTATTCGATCGAAACGAACGCGGTTTGCTCTATCTTCATTGAGTAGACTAACATCCCTTGCTAGAGTTGATCCTGATAGCCTGGTATTTCCTTTGTCTTTCCTGTATTTCGCATATGGTGAGACGTATAACTTGTTTTCAGTTAAATTTGAATTATAAATTAATAGGCACGGACATTGTCAAATTAAATTTTGTTGCGAATTTAATGTCAAAGGTTATTAAACTAACTTTAAAATATTGATGTTTAAAAACATCGATGGTTTATGGCCAATGTATTTTGAACAACGATGTTTTGATTTTGAACATCGATGACTGGCAACATCGATGTGTTCTTGTCGTTGTCGCATCACTACTCCTGGGCCCCCTCCCGTCAGTAAAGTGAATATTGAGGCGAAGTGATTCCTCTGCTGAAGTCTAAATGTAGCTTCTGAGCTAAAGTCGAATCGCATATTTCGTTTCATAAGCAATCCCTCCTTTCTCCACTAGTTGGAGAAAGGAGCGCAGCGAAATTTTGCGTGGTGAGACGGAGGAGTCTCGCCACGTAAAACAAGTCATCAACTGCGTGTGGCAGGGCGCGCTGGGAGGTCTCGCGACCGCAGTGGCTGCTGGGCGTGGGGCTGGAGGGCGCGACGGTGGGCGTGGTGGGGTTCGGCGGCGTGGGCCAGGCGACGGCGGCGCGCCTCAAGCCCTTCGGGCTGGCGCGCCTGCTGTACGCGGCACCGCGCCCGCGGGCGGCGGAGGCGGCGGCGCTGGGCGCGCAGCACGTGCCGCTGGCGCAGCTGCTGGCGCAGAGCGACGTGGTGGTGGCGTGCTGCCCGCTCACGCCCGACACACGCCACCTCTTCACCACCGACACCTTCGCCCAGATGAAGCGCTCCGCCGTCCTCGTCAACGTCAGCAGGGGAGGTAAGTGCTGCTGCAGGCGCCTCCTGACCCGACGGTGGCAGGCTTTGCGACACTAGCTACACAGCTAGATCGAATTCCGTCGCTGTCTGGAGGAGAATTTTAGCGGCCGGCTGCTCTCAACGGTAGTTTTCAGTGGTTTCTCTGATTAATACCACGCCGGAGCAGCTCCTTGACATAAGAGCCATGGACCGCGCGCGATCTTTCCTTCCTCTTCCTTGCCCTATCCCCACCCCTTACACTAACATGTATTACACTAAGAGGCCGGGGCACCGATCGGGAGTTTAGAGTTTGTCCCTAGGGGCGGTGCCCCGCTGGTGGGAGATACCTGATTGGGGAAATTCTCCTGCAAGCCAATGTAGGTCGTCGCCGGATCTCTCCGTCTAACGGGGAAGACCGCTAGCTCATGCCAAAAAGAATGCATTAAAAACTACACTTGCGGGACTAGTGCCCTTAGCTGTTGACGCTCGCAGAACCACAAACAAATTAATCGATCGATCAACCATTAACCCTAGAATACTCGTCCCATTGCACTCCAGAGTTTCTAGACGTACGATAATTATCGTTAATTTGCGATAATCCGTTATGACTGATGTACAAAAAAGACGCGATAAGCGTACGATGAGACCAATTTGCACTAAAATAATTTTTACAGGATTTCAATAACGCTAGAACAAGAGATGAAGAATTTTAACATTAAAGAATGATAATTAAATTAAAAGTGTTTATTTAAAATAATGACGTTTTCGATTGACTTACTCTCCCTACTTAAGGGTCGACTCTAAACTACTAATCAACAGACACAGTTTTACAGTAATTAGTTCCTGTCAATCATCAATCAAATAGAAAAATTCCGGTGAAATTTATTTATTATAGAAGAGTAAGTCAATCGAAAACGCCATACGTGTTCTCTTAGGATAAGAATAAGCAAAAGTTATTTCATTTATTTTGAGGAGATAAATATTATGTGCACGTACATACATTAATAAAATTTACATACTTATTAAATAAATAAAATCTACATCATTCGGGTCTTAAAATCGAAAAGTTCTTTAGCTTAATATATTTTTGATACCTTCTAATAATTAAATCAATAAAAGATGTCCGGTATCTCCCTCACCAGCGATCTTATTATGTCGTTATTTTATAAAATCTCTGTATTACCATTTGTATCCTCAATGCATTGTGTTTTAAGGTCAAAAACGCGAATCACCATTAAAAAGCTTTTTTACTACATTAAATATAAATTAGTTTTACAGTAAAATTTTAGGTGCAGTTATTATAAATGTCTGTATTTTACAACTGGCTCAATTAAATTTATTTCCGAAGCGACACATCTCCGTTCCCTTTGTTTTCTAGTTTAACATATCATTCTATTCTTATGACGCTTCGCCATCATGCTGCAAACTCAACGGTAAAACTTCAGATGTGGGTCCTTCACACAGAAGAGAAAGTTCAGGACAATAAGAGTCGAAATAATTTAAAAAAGTTATAAGACGTACTAAATCACTCCGTTCACGAATCACAAGACGTGTTCTACGTGATTTGCACAACATAAATACATTTCTCTTCTCTTCTTTGAAGTGAATGCAATACGTTCCAAAATACCCAGTGTATTGAATTTTGTTAGAAAGGTTGTTAATTTAGATTTATTCAGTAAAAAAAAAAAAGTAAAAATTGTATGTGACATAGGGGGGAAAAGACAATGTGAGTTTATTCATCAAGCACAGGAGCCGAATACATAAAAAAAACATGTGTTCCCGGGTGTTTAATGAGTGTGTAAAACTCGCACAGGTCGTTATGGATTCAGTCATATATTTTTTGGCTGGCAAATTTCGGGTTGATGTTCCCGATACAGGAGACGGGCTCTCAAAACATTGTCGGCAACTATATAAGTAATGCATGCTCGGTAGTTCTTCGTTTGGGTATATTACAGTAGACTGAAAACAATATTATTACAAACCGTATCACAGTTGATAGAAAACCACACAAAAACGACAACGGAACGTATCTAGTATGATTACGTCTTGAGACTGCGGGAAATCATTTGCGGCTGTTGGTGTGGATTTCTAATTATTTATTCTATCTTCACAATGATTACTCCATTGTAACCACAGTTTTAAACCTGCAATGAAACATGCACTATCATTAATTAAAGTTTGGATAATTATCATTAATAAAATTTCGGATAACTGTAATTAAGCGTTTCCGGACTCGCACTGTAATCATATTCTCTCTTCTCTGAAGGAAGGATCTATTCCCGAAGTTTTGCAGCTGAATTTGGCTACATACTGAACAGTGTAAAGAATCAGTTGCAAAAATATTAAGTTAGATTTGAGACCATTACCATGGACGTACCATTCACGATGACATTGAACGTAGATATAAATAGAAACAGTCATTGGTATCGATACAATAATCTACAGACATACGATCGAACATCATTAAACGCGACCATGTTGTACGATAAATATACCATTAGCACGATGAATGATTCTTCGGAAAGTTTCGTGAGCCATGACGACGACGAATGGTCGTTACCGGTCTTATAAACGGTATTAGTTTATGTCTAATGAGCATCTTTCTGTCTTTATATCATGCTGCGAACACATTTTCTACCTTGCCATACACAATTGGTTGTTGTCCTCAGATATCCTAGACGTTAACGCAAACTTTCCCGGTTACGTTTATGTTCATATATACGTTTAGCTTACTATAAAATGGGGTGCCAAGATTCTGCATACACATTACTTTTGCATTTCATTGTGAGTGGGCCAAAACCAGTGGTGTAGAGTCAGTGGACGCAACTGATGCGTCGCATCCCTTCGTTATTCGGTTGGTTTTATGATTTCTAATCTTTACTGAATATGCTTACTATTTTCTCTGAGCAAAAATATGTAATCTTTGCTTTGGGCACTTCAGATCACTGCATCGGTTTACAGTACATGGCTTTGTAAAACTGTGGTTTCTCAAAAGAGAATCATATCCATTGTGGAAAGATCTCACACACGAGACCTGAAGGACTCGGGAAAATAAACCGCGCGCTTTACAAAAGCAAAAGTTCAATTCGCTGTATTGAGCAATGGATATCAACAGAAGAAACGTGGCACACGCTAAAATAGGTTAATTCTTCGTCCGGCGAGCAGCGACAGGCGCTAATTCCACCGGTAACATCTTCAATAGTCCTTAGTTTCCTCTGTGAAGTCTAAGAAGGAGACAATTCCGGTTTTGGAGGCATGGTGGAGGTATTTACGAAAAACATCGGCAGCTAATTGGGCACATTTCAAGAGACATCACGTGGTGAATGCAGGAACTTATCTCGTTTGTTTGTTAACGATGGGCGGACATCGGACACTTACTTACCAAAGCCATCTACATTTCTGTGTATGTAAGTACAATGTAGATGGTGTTGACTTGACACATGAGCTTGGTGGCCATTGGCCGAAAGTGCCATAAACGGTTCTCCCATTGACGGCCTGATGTCGCTGATGTTCAAGGGTAGCCAATTAGCTGCCGGCGCTTTTCATTCATACCCCCAACTATCGGATTGATTGATTCATTTGTGATGCCGGGTGCGTCAACTGCTAAGGTCATTATCTGCATTCCCCTAAGTGTAGTGCATGATCTTTCCCCACCGGATGGTGAGATCCAGAGCCGACCTCGCTGGCTAACGGGGCTTTCCCCAAACAGGTATCTCCCACCAGCGGGCACCACATCAGCCGGGACGAGCTGTAAGCTCCCAACTCGTCTCCCGGCATGCGTGGTAGTGTAGTGCGTGTATGTGTAAGCAACGGGAGAGGATAGTACAAGGAAGAGGAAGGAAAGAGCGTGGTCCGTGGCTCGTTTGTTAGGGTACTGTTACGACATTCGCCGGGTGGTGACCGGAGAAATCACGCAAAACTACCGATCAGAGCAGCCGGCCGCTAGAATTCTTCTCCAGACAGTGGCTGAACTCAACCTGTCTAGCTAGCTAGTGTCGAAAATCCTGACACCATGGGGAGTGGAGCCTTAGAACCTTCCGGTCAGAGGCACTGTGGTGACATCCGCTGATGCCCTGAGCCAATTCCATTCACCTGCTCTTCCCTCCCACAGAGGTGGTGGATCAAGCGGCGCTGGCCACGGCGCTTCGCGAGGGCCAGATCTTCGGCGCCGGTCTCGACGTCACCACCCCGGAGCCTCTGCCTCCCGACCACGAGCTGTTTGAGCTCGACAACTGCAGTAAGTACAACTACTGGAGCGCCCCAACCGAACATCTTTTCATGTTTTTTTTTTTTTTTTTTTTTTTTTTTTTTTTTTTTTTTTTTTTTTTTTTTTTGGTTCACGTTCACTTACACTCTGGACATTTTTCAAGGTAGAATTTGAGTTTTGTTTTATTCCAATTCACTCGATATTTCAGCATATGGCAGCAGTTTACCGTCATACTTCTAACTGAAAATGCAAGATCGGTTGGGTTCTGTCTGTACTACAGAGGAATTACTGTAAGGGACAAGTTTGACAGCTCGGGAAACAAAAAAGTCATGCAGGGCGAAGATATTGCATGAGATAGTGATGAAACCATTTACGAAGTAGCTATCTGTAAACGAACGCACTGACAAACTGAGAGCATGGATGTACTCTGCAGTTATGTTGCCAGCTGTGGCTAAGCAGTAGTTGTCACAACGGTCCCTTCTTAAAGTAATCTCTCTATATCCTGAGCGTTTCAATTAGATCTATTTTTCCTCAGGTCCGCGCAGCATCATAATACGGATAGTCAGTCACATGTTGATGTTTAAAGTTTATGGTCACTTCAAGGTTTTTGGGGCCCGGGTCAATTAACGAAGAACATTAATTATTAGAGAAATTATTTTTATGCCCTACAAAATCTTGAAATATGAAATTAAAAATTTGGATTTATGACCTAAAAATCCGAAATATGCCCTTTAATATAAACAACAAATTAACAATACAGTAAAACTTGCTCAATGCGGTACGTGTGTATGGCGGAAATCAGTATAATGTGAATATTAACCACGGTCCAGTCAAACTAATTCTGCAGTATTACATTGCATAATACGGAATCTTGTCTGGACATACACCCTTGACGTACCGCATTGCGCAAGTTTTAGTGTTTTTCATTTCCTGTGTAAACTTCCCTTAATAACATTCAGGAGAAGCAGACTTTCATTGAAAAAAAATCACCTCAGAGAAGTACATTGTATGCCTGTAAAATATATATACACACAAAGAATTTACAGAAATATCCTACATTTGCACAAATATTTTATAATCTATAGAAAAAAACTCAAACTATGATAAGTTCATTCTAATCAATGAACACACACAAATAAATCAGTTGTCTTATCACACTCTGATAATGGACTATCCTGAAAACACGCCTCAATACATGTAGAGCTTAGATGATCATCGAGAATGAAGATTTTTGTTTTCTCCTCGACTTGTAGAAAATAGAGTCTGTTTTCGCATTTCATTCACAACTTCAGGAGAGGTGAAGATCGTCCTGTGGCGGAGCCAGGGAGGGAAGGGGCATGGCGGCCTTGATCCTCCCCCCTCCACAAAAGCTCTAGAGTTTTCCTTTGTTACCTTCCTTTATTTGCAAAATTGATTTAAATATTTGTTAGAATTAGGTGAAGATTGTGCAGTTGCGGATCTAGGAGGGCCATGACCCGCTGAAAAGGCCTAGAGTTTTCCTTTGTCACCATCCTTTATTTGGCAAAATTGATTTAAATATTTGTTAGAATTATTTAAATGATAACATTGTGTAGTATCATGCACTACAAAAATAATATACAATATAATTAGTTAATTACAAACATGACTATTAGAGGAAAAGTTTTTTGGGGGTGGAAAGGCGAAATTGGTCCTTCAAGGCCAACTGGACCACGGCCTACCAGCCCGGAAAATTTATCTTCTATTGACTCCGGCCGTGAAAGCGTACGATGTTTATGTAAACATGTTTATTAAATAAACATCTATGATGCCCCCTTCAATCGTCTGGATCAGCCCCTAAGATCGTGGTTTCACATTAGATAAAAATAAATGCTAAAATGCTTGTAAGTTACTTATAATACATGAACACTAGTTGGGCCCGAGAATACATTCCACATTTTGCTTACAAATGTTATGGAAGAGAATAGTTTCACTCTGGAACTCAAATGAAAACCATCACGCTCTGAATTGTGTGTGTTACATCATACAGTCATAAATAAAAATGACGTCCTTTTGTAGGCTACAGTAGGCTATAATCTCTAATCATTTTCAGGTTTAATGACTTCGGTTTTCGGTTTCTTTATTCCACTGATCAAACTCTGAGATGGACCTAAGTTTGGCTTCTGAATGGTGAATGTAATTTTTCTCATTTCGAAGGGCCACATAGCATTTTTGACATAAAATAAGAGTAAATATGCGCGGTATTGTGAGTGGATAAATATTTTAATAAGGCGAATCGTTCATTAACAACAAAAAGATTTAGACCCGTGAAGTTAAACTGAAAATATAAGGCCGTATCAGTCAAATTAATATTACACTAATTTCGAGATTTTGCCTCTATCTGATCACTCGTTTGAAGGTATGGGTGTGCCCTCAATAGCTAAACCATCAGAAGGGTTTCATCTAAGAAACTACATCTTTCCTTTTGGTGTTCTGTGTATCTATCCTTTGGTGCCGGAGCGGCGTTTTCCAATCGATGCTTGGTGGAAAGGATTCTAGAATTAATTTTTTCGTTTTCTACATTAATTATGCTCATTAATTACATGAAAAATCGTTTATCACTACTTTAATGGCACGCGTGCAATTAAAATCACGCAACTACCAATGAGAACTCGGCAAAAGGCTCAAAATCGTTTAAGTGTGTCTCGAACGGAAACACACATAAATAAACAAAAAGTTGAAATGTCAAAGTTCGGTGGAACATTAAAAAACAAACATTATGAACACTCTAAAGCTTAGTGACATAGAGAAATAGTAATATATATATATATATATATATATATATATTCTATATATATATATATATATATATATATATATATATTTATATATATATATATATATATATAATTATGTGTGACTCCCTCCGGCGATTTTCCATGACTTGTATAGCTTATATTCTTTTTTCATAGACATAATCTACTTTTTGTAAGGGAGAATGCATTCATTGCGTTTTCAGCTTCTTCTAATAATATTCGTTCGAATATTATTGTAATCCTCCAAGCTTTCTAATTCATTAAGTCACTATGGTGATCGTAAATACACAGGCAAGGCCTATTAAAATTGGTCTTCTTTGGAATGAAAATGACATCATCAAAGTAAAAATGGAATGCTGAAGATATATTTTTATTATTCAAAATAGAAATATTTTTGAATGGCACTCGTAAATAAAGAAACTCGCTCATATCGTCGTTTCTTTAATAATACCACATCGTGCAATTAACGCCTATTTAAACACTCGTCTCGTTAACTACTATAACGTGCACTTTAAGTAAATCTGCTGTTCCGGTTTCATCCAATCGGCTATGTCACTACAGTGATGTCACTATGGGAACGTCCAAGCGTACTTTTCGTGTAATTTTGCGTGAAATACGAGCAAGAAAATACGTGCTGTTTTAGCACCATTCGTTAAGTTTCGTGAAAAGTTAAAATTAATGGTTACTGAAAAATTGGGTGGGTGGGGAGCGATTTCCTTCACCCCCCCCCCCCACACACACACACAGTGGATCCGCGCCAGCAGATATAGAAAATAATTCAAAAACAATTACTTACTTCGGAATATCATTCTTGACGACAGAATTAAACTATTTTCTATAAAATAAGACCTTTTGAACCTGCTATCATATATTTGGAGGATTAGCTATTCCGGCCACCCCCACCTGTAGCAAGATTGGTCACATACTAGCGGAATCTTTAGATCTATTACAAATAGAAAATTAATGTACTTGAAAAAAGGTAAATTACCATTTACAGACGTTAAATTAAAATGAAAATGACCATTTGATAGTTTGGGCAATTTAATCTCATGAGCATAAATCTCTTGATTGCAATAAAGACTAAGCAAATTAGAATGCTTTTTCACACTAGTAGCATTGCTACAATGCAATGTTCAGGGTCTGGCCATTCAAAATCAGTTCTAGCATATAGTTATCACTTAAAAGCAATTTCAAAATGCAGAATGTTTGCATGGGTACTAATAGTTGAAATTCAACGGGTCAAAGATTGAAATTAACATAATTTTAAAATCTTACATTGCTTGCATTCATATTACATAATAATAATAATAATAATAATAATAATAATAATAATAATAATAATGCCACTAAATAATTTTCCGACATCTACGGACAATCCGAAGTACAGGGCAATTGCTTTCACATCATTTCTGTTTTTGATTTTATTTGATTTGAATTTGCCTTAATTTACGTGGCGAGACTCGGGCCATCCAGACGCCGCTCTTAACCGTTCTGACCACGCAAATTTCCGCTACCGCTCCTTCATAACTAGCCAGAGAAATGAGGTTATTTCTTGGGCGAGAAAACAGGCGATTCTGAATTTAGCTCAAGAGGCGTCAACTAGGTTTGAGGATTTTTACATGCAAGTAATCTACTAACCAATGGGACAGCCGCTTTACTTCCTCCGAAGGAAGGCGTATGAAGGAATTTTGGTTCGCCCTAAAAATGCGCACGGCTTCGATCGAGTTTGAACCCGCGAACTTGGGTACAACAGTCCTATACGCTAACCGTCACACCATCGCCGCCATTTTTCATTTGTCATCATTATTAGCAATTAATTCAATAATTCAATCTTCTAACATCGTTGTATATCTTACTTTCAGTAATAACTCCACATATTGGCAGTGCCACATATGGTACCCGAACAAAGATGGCACTTCTTGCTGCGCGTAATATTCTTGCTGGTTTAAATGGAGAGAAACTGCCAGCTGCTATTCCATAACTTATTCACCACTCTCACAGGTAAGAAAACATCATGCATTGGCTTTAAATATGATATATCAAATGGAAAATCAAATATAAACTGTTTTTTGAAAATTACCAAATTATTTATTACTGTTTCAGATTAACAACGATCACTGTACGCAAACAATTTTACTAACTTTAATATTTCGTACAAAACCATGAATCAAGAAAATAATTCCCTTAATTCGATCCCATGATATTTCTCTTCACATAATATACTTATAAATAAATGAAAAAGATATGGAACTAGTAGCATTACAATATAATGCATTCTCATTATTTGTAATGGAAACATGAAATTACAAAAAAAATTTAAGGCTTTCGTACCAATCATATTTCAGAAAATGCTTCAAGAGTTTTGGTTCAATAGAAATTGTCCTTATAAAGGAGTGGTCCATTCCAATATACCCAAAGACATTATCCCTTCAATTAGGTCCAAAGAAAAATGTCCACCAAGTTATCCTATGATTTACAAATTACACAGTTTAATCAAGCCCAAACAGTCAAAATGGCCAATGTTTATCTGATACAAGGGCCTAACATTACAGGCCCTTGCATGTTATCCTTTTTTCTTCAGTTTTTCCTTCTATGAACTAAGAGTGACTTTTGTTTGGTTATTATTTTTTAAATAATCACATAATTCGAACATAAATATTTAAATAATTTTTGCCAAATAAAAGAAGGTAACAGACAAAAACTATTCCTTTGGGGGGTGGGGATTTAAAGAAAAATTTTGGAGTTGTTTTTAAGAAGGTATTTTTGTTTTTTTGGATTGCCTAAATTTCATGCAAACTCAAAAGAAAACTACTTACATTTCGAAAAATTGTACATAATGTTATTTGCTTACTTACATGAACTTGCTTTGATGAACAGATTTCTTTAAGTAAACGTGGTGCTTCAACACATACTTTCTCATATTGTTTCTAGATTTGCAACTTTCAAAAATTCAGAGTTCAATGAAAATGATACCTGCCCCATTCTTTTAAGAGTTTTTTGTTCTATCCAAGTGGGAAAAAATTTCCAGCGGTTTTGAGAAAATGTTTTTTTAATTACATACATGTTAACCACAAATTAAGCAAAAACTACTTGTCTTTTCAAAATATTTTGCACGGGTTTTTAAACAAGCTGAACAGGTTTTGTTTAAGGCAAACATCCCTATCATCAATTTTTAACATTCATTTTTCATTTCATTTTCTAATATTAAAAATTTACAATTTTCGAAAATACAGTGTTTACCGGGAATGATAATTTTTTACCCACCTTTCATACATACTACAAGAATGTTAGAAGCTGCTTTCATGGCGAAGAACACCTTTGTGTTCCGTGAATATCTCAAAGGCCTAGAGCTGTCCTACCTGTACATAATTGCCCATGGTTCTATCCCTTGCCTCATATTGGAGCATGTGCTACTGTGCTAGGTGTGGATCCAGTTCCTCAATTACACACATTCACTGCACACACAGTTCCCTACCAAGCCAAGAGATTGTGAAAGGGTTAATAACTAATGCTATCAGCTAAACCGTTTAGCTGATTGCCTCCAAACACATTCCCTGATCGATCTGGCTGATCTCACCTTTGAAATTGATATTTTAATTTTGGGGGTATTTTACATGAAACACCTGGCACATTTCAAAAAAGTTGGTCCATTATTTTTAATTAAATTTTGTTGTTTGACAGTGTAAAAGATGTTTAAAAGAATGGTGCAGCTTTCATTTTCATTGAAAAATCAATTTTTCAAAAAATGAAAAAATTAATCATCAATTTTTCTTTGGAGTCTTCCTGCAACTAAAATATTAAAGATAAGATATATTTTCCTTAATAAAATCTGTTCCTAAAGATAGATTTCAAAATAAGTTCAAGTAACAAGTTTCCTTAAATTCGAAAATATTCGCGTTATTTTGTGTGAATTATAGGTAATTTTTCCTTTTTGTTAATACAATTTTTTTTTTCTCAGAAACAGCTCCATAGTTTTTGATAAAATTTTATTGGTACATAGTTTAAGGAGATTTAAGATAGTGGTGTAGGTCTCATTTTGTTAAAAATCCTGAGTTTTCAAAATTTGAAAACAACAAAATTCTTTCGGTGCCTTCCTACAACTACAACTATGAAGATCCTTTTTTTCCCTTAATGAAATATGTTCATTACTAACAAATCTTCAAATAAGGTCATGTTGGATTTTACAAAAATATGAGTATTTTTTGGTAATTTGGCGTCAAACAGACACCTGCTCTGTAAACATTAGTTTGTTAGTGATTTGAAGCAGTTGGATACTACATATGTTAGAATTTGTATATTATTTCTGATTTCTTTGATAGTTTCTTCTTCGAGCTTTTGTTGAAAGTTTTAAAATTAATCTTTTAGAAATTATTTAAAACCTATTTTAAATTGAGTCCTTTAATTGAGTTAAATGTGAAAAGAATAGATGATTTTGCTTTGCTTAATAAGGTGTGGGAATAAAAAGTAACGCACTTTACTTGTTTTGATAAGTATAAAAATATTATAATTAATTATTAATTTTTGAATTCTTATTTTCTTGCTAGCAGTATGAACAATGCTCATTAGCAAAATGTGTATCTTATACGAATTAGTGGTCATTGTTGCTTGTAATCCATTGTTGTATTGCCGCACTGATAACAGAAGGCGATAATTACTGCTGTATTTTTTTGGCGTTAATATAAAGTAATGCTTTTATTTATGTTTAAAATATGCATCATGCCATGTTGGTACATTTATGTAGAACATAAATAAATCGAATTCAAAGGCAGAAAGCTGTTTTCATTGAAGCATTTGAATTTTAAACAAAGGGGAAAAAATCCATTTTTCGTGCTTCATTTGTTTCAGACATTTTAAAATGGTAGTTGAAATTTAAGGCAGAAATTTTCATATTATAATATTACAGAGCCATTAACAATATCGCAAGAAAGTATGTGCTGTTGTAGCACCATTAGTTTCCATTATTTAATATTTTCTGTGCTGTAAATAATATCATAGGATATCATTTTTAATCATTTCATAACACCAATAAGTAACTTCTTACTGAGGCAAAGCTTTTATTCTGGTAGGTGTAATTCACAACAATGAAATAATATTATTAAAGACTATTCTGCATAATAAAGCTCTTTATACTTGAATATGGAAACAATGTACAGGGTTTTATATTCAATTACTTATAAAATTCAACAACACTCTCTCACTTAGCACAAAACAAACCGATTGTCTCTCTCAATGTCCTGTTAAACCACCTCTCAAAATCTTCATACTTGCTGTGTACAGCAAGGGGATGCAACTCAGGATTCTCCAACTGCTCCTCGCAAATCGCTTAACAGGGGCTCCACAAGAGGCTCCAGAGCCAGCAATAAGCCTGTGTTGGCTGTTTCACTAGCAATCAATGTAATAACAAGTGGTAATCTATTCACTTGCACCACCTGATGAAAAGGGAAAAAAATTGTAATTGAAAGAAGGGCATTAACAATCTTTCAAATGCGGTTTGTTCTCAACTGTTAATTAATTCTTAACAAAATTTCACTACATATTCATAGAATTCATCACCATTGCAGATCATACAACAAAGAAAAAAATGTTAGCAATTAAGGAAGAATAATAAGTATAAATAAAAAATTAAAATGCTTCAGACATTAAGTAAAATAACATTTTACAGAGGCCTTTGAGGGCAGACCGGTAGGTGAAAGTTTTGTTTCCAACATTATGTTTTCTGTCAGAGTCCAGTCAATTTTGGTTTCATCGGCAGAATCCCCTTGAGCTATTTTTGTTAAGACCTTTGTCTTGACGTTTTGTAAGATAAGTAGATTGAGAACAATTTTTGAGTGAAGGAAAGAAGCAGAAGCGAGAACATTTCTGACAACAAGCTGTACTGTTGTAGGTGTATGGGCAAGAGAGTGCCCATTTAATTGGATTTTAGAAAATGGTTCAGTGCTGAGTGCTTTGTTCGTTTCTATCAGTTTCAACAAATATACTGCCATAAAGCAGAAGACCCTGTAACGTTGATATACACATTTAATATTGTGTTAATGTGGTTTATTTGCACACACAGAGGGAATGGAAGCAACATGGACAGGTTGCTATGGTGATGGGTATACAGAAACAAAGCCTTGAAGAATGAACGCTTGGGGACATGTCAGATATTGGCATAATGAATTAGCAAGAGTCATATGTTGAACTTAGGAGAATAGTATTGCCCATTATTATTGTGAGAAACAATAAAACAACGATTAATATGTTGTAAATGCTATACAATTTTATTAATTGAATAGTAAACTGAGCTTGTGTATTATGAAATATTTATTTTAAAATTATGTACATTTATTAATATTTTATTAGGGATGAGATCGTACTCATAACATTACATAAATTATTTATTTATGGAAGTTAGAAATTGACACAATGAGGCACTCACCAGAGGTAGATTAGGGAAATAGCATGTGTACGGATTAACTAACTGATCATTAAACGGTGTACTAGCAATTAATTCAATAGAATTCCAGACTTATCATTTAATAACATTCCCCAGATAGAGTAGAGAATAAGGGCAAAGTAGGTGATATCTATGCAACAACCAGCGAGAGAAGATATTGTGGAATATTGAACATTTCTTTCATTGTAGAATCGTCTGAGAAGATCCTGAATGCACACGAAGATCCGATGTAAGCAATCAAGACTTAATTTACATTATATAAAAAAATAACTATTAATGCAGATTCTTACAAAATGAGTTCATAAATTAATGTGTTAATAGTTTGTAGATAGTGATATAAATACTTTATGTATCTGAAGAAATGATGATCAGTCTATCATCATCCTCCTCATCATTATAAATATCATCATCATCATCATTATCATCATTATTATTATTATTATTATTATTATTATTATTATTATTATTATTATTATTATTGACAAATAGGCCATTACTAACCACTCTACATGATTAACATGTGCAATTTTTCCAGGTTCAGCTTTTCACCTGTATCCCTTAGTATGACAAGGTTGTTACGCATGAATTACGCAAGGTTATTAAGTATGAATTATGATGTGATAGGAAAATAATGAGGGGTGAAAGGACAATCACAAATACGACCGTGCCTACGCAGGACTCTTAACCTGCAGCGTCATTGGTGCAGACGATGGCCGCCGGAACAGTCTGTGTCACAGGGCCAACTTTTATTTTTATTATTATTTGTTTATAATAATAAAATAATAATAATAATACTAATAATGTCTCTTGTATTTCTCATGGCAAATAGATCTAAATATGGTGCTAGTAGGTGAATTTCAATCAAAGTAATACATCAACATTAATTTCAGCTTATGAGAGTACCATTCTATAATGCTTTGTACACAACACTGGAGTACAAAGCATATGCTTATGTGCAAAAGTGAATCCCAATTCTTATACTGAAAATTAATTAAATTAAAACAATAAAATTTTCGATGACAATGAAGTGTTTGTTCAACACATATAATGAAAAACGTGTCTAAATGAAAGATCTAAAGTAGAATCCTTCACTGAGAAGGCACTTTGAAGATTTCAACAAGCTAGCATCTTTTCCAGACATTACCATTCATTTACAGAGAATACTAAAAATTTCAATCCATTACTGAATAAAATTTTTGAACACGAAAACAAAGCTTCATACATTAATTATTAGGGGGCAGATTTTGATGACCTAACATATCGCCAAAAAGGATCATTAAAATGCTTTAAAATGCCTTAAAAACAAAGGAACACAACATACTTTTTTATTAAAACTACTTTAGATGAACAACTCAAACTGTTGAGTATGTTACCGAGGTTCCTATGTAACTGAGGTTTATTCCTATTGTTCAAATGAACTAAGCTTACAAACTTTTGGTTTGGACTGCTCGTTAAAAAAAATTTCTGCCTTTATTTATCGTAAAATTGGCCAAAAATTGACAATGGCTTCGATAGGCATTACAGGAACCTTAGTTTACATAGTACTCACAACAGCTGACATTACAATATATGAGAAGAAATCGAATATAATTCTCAGGAATTCTGAGAGAAAAATGTGTTGCACCTCATACATATTAGTTGAATCAGGTACAATTGAAAAGATATTAAAATGGATTAAATCAGCAAAAAAATGACATAAATAGGTGAAATGACTTATTCATAGAAATCGACGGAAAATGCAACAAAGAAAAATGGCATGTAAAGATGGGTCATTTTATTTTGTCTAAACATAAAATGAATTTCTATTCTGAACAGCATTGCTCTAAAGTGAAAAGAAATAAAATGACATTTCATTCAAATCTGTACCCTATTAATTACCCAATTGCTCCACTCTTTTTCATATATATATAAATAAGAATTTCTTATCCCGTTAGACTTTCTGTTTCAAGCTGAAGCAAAGAAAAAAGAAGTGCATATCGCACCCTGTGAAACAGGAGAATAGAAGAAGAAAAAACTGGTCAAAACTTGCCCCCTCACCATTTCAAGTTATAAATATAGAATGTACTACTATTATACATTTGATGTAGTTGCAAACATTTAATGATATGTATTATTAACATGTTATTATTTTCAATGTAATTATATTATTATAACATAATTATTTAATAATTTATTAATTTATTATTAAATTATATATTATTTATTATAAGTAGCATTAAAGATAACATATTGAAATGCTGTAATTATTAGCAGATAACTTTATCTACTTATAATTAGTCTTCATCTAACGTGTAACAAGTATTGTATTCTTAGGCCAAAAACCCCTATCTCCGATATCATAGTTTTGTTCAGTTTCCCTGGTACCCTTTGAGCAAAGCCTGAGATGGCCCCTCCGTGTCTTGCTCCTGAAAACAGTGAATGTAAACCTTCGCGTCTCTCCACGCAAGGTATCATTATTGACTCGTCATACACGATTGTAATTGTATATGTGACTCAATAAATATTATTATTAATATTATTAGAAAAGAAAAATAATTGATGTTCCTACACCAACAAACGGAGCAGCAGCAAGGCAGTGAGATTAACAATAATTTGAAAAAAAACCATTTAATGTACCTGATGAATGGTTATGGTTGTATAATATATTGGCTGTAATAATATTGGGGGCTGCCCCCCCAAAAAAAACCCACACTTTTAGTGTTAATAAATTATTACATTGTAGTTTCTTATTCTTCGGATTATGTAATGACTTGTTTTATGCCTTTTTGGTATCTTGTAGTTTTGGTATTTAATAGTTTAAACTTTTGATTTTTTTATTCAATATTGAAAGATTTTGTACATTAATTTTCTTGTATAAGGTTACATAATAAAATTTTACTCTTCAAGAGACATACATATATAATAATGATTTCGGATTTAAAATTTGAATTCTTAACATTTTAGTACAAACCAGTACAATGTACTCTCTATAGCTGGAAATGTGCTATTTAATATAGAAGTACATACAGTAGCCTGATGGAAACTTAATTCATTGTGCAAGTGTTGAAAGTATTTCTGTTCTTACCTGGTATGTAGAGTACATGCAAATTAAGGTCTTATGTTTTCCTAGTCCCAATTTTCCTCCTTGATCAGCTGCCATGGCAAATGTAGAAAGAAAACTTGGTCGCATGGCAAGTTCAGGTGTTTTTTCATTTGCCACTAGAGAAGCAGAACATCATTCCATAACATTGTAACAAAATAATTTATTTTTTAATTGATAATTTAATGTACCTTTTATAACTGGAACTCCATCTCTATCCGTTACTAGAATGCAATATAGACCATCCACTCTGGAAATGACATTTTTGCAGTATTGTTACACATTCGATAAGTCTTCATATGCGTCAGAAGTAATCTGGCTTACCTCATCAATAGTTGATGTAAATATTTCTTCATTTCCTGTGACAAGGGACGAAGATAAAATAGAAATTAAATACGATGCATTAACTATTTGTTTGAAAATAAAAATTACGATACAAACCTCAGTCATGATGGAGCAGCGAAATAATTTCAGATGTGAATTTTTATGCGTAAAAAACTGTTCACTGGGTGAGTTATAATACTGCACTCGACAGCCGCCACTCTCAGTCTCGCACGTGACAACTACACACGCACACACAGACACGATTAACACCCAGTTATTCAGGCATCTCGTACACTATATAATCACGATATGACGATCCCAGGCCATTCCTTTGTATTTTCTTTGGTAGGGTTGGTAAAATTTTCGCAATAGCCAACTTAACAAAACTACAAATAAAACGTAAATTTGGATAAAGATAACAATGGCATCAATTTGTTCTCTTGCTTTTATTTTAATATTTTTATTAAAATTCACATTTTTCAAATGGTTGATAGCGGATGACACCAAAAAAAATGTTGATTTTTTCTAACAATTCCTGAAATACTAAAATTAATTGGTCAAATCATTGAAACTACGGATACACAGCTCCATGGAACAAATAATACATTCATAAATTGTAATTTTTATATTTTATTTCATAAAATCAAATACAATAAAGTATTAAAGTAACCTCTATGGATATAATACACACATAAAAAATCTTGATAAAACACATATTTAATTTCTGATATCCAAAGGTTGTACATACTGTACACAGTATATACACACACAGGTTTGTTGTTCCTGTCACCTGATTCAGTGTCATCATCACCCTACACGCAATGGAAGTGGAGTAGATGTTTTCAGAATTGATACTTTTTGACATTGGAGTAGTTTCTGCAATATTTCAGTACTACGTTTGACTCGTTCATTAATGATTAACTTTACGTGAAAATATCGAAAAAAATTTCAGTTGCTTTAAAGGGAGAACAAAGGGCGAGTTAAAATTAACCTTTAAATTTACCAAAAATGTTGAAACCAAAAGCTTTAACTCAAGTTCTCAGCCAGGCGAATACTGGCGGTGTTGAAAATACATTGTACGTGTAATATCAGTCGTTTTGAGGTATTGTTCATTTTGTGTCAATCTACTTTTTGCCTCACCTGTCTTGTTGCTTTCAGGCTTTTGAATCATGAGGGAGCATTATTGGCATATAGTGGATATGGAGACAGAGATGCTCGTGTAACTGCAGCTATTGCCAGTAATATATGGTCTGCCTATGAAAATAATGGAAGAAACGCATTCAAAGAAGATAGATTACAATTAGTACTCATGGAATGCATGGTATGATAATTTTTTCAAGTTCTGCGTCTGAAATGTTCTAAGGGTTTGTAAATAATTACTTGTATTATTTTTAAGGAGGGGAAAGTTGCCATCACTCAAGTTGCAAATCTGCTTCTGTGTTTATATGCCAAAGAAACTGTTGGATTTGGTCTGCTCAAAGAAAAGGCTCAAGCCCTCGCAGCTTATCTTGATGGACCCTTGAAACAAGTTGCTACATCCTAAAGTGATCATTACAATATAGAACCAAGTGATCTTCAATTTTGATATGTGAAATATTTCGTTATGCAAAAGAAGTTGAAAACTGTGAAGAGTGACGAAGTGAATATACTACAAATGTATATATTTTGAGTTCATTTTGATTTTCATACAATATTCCTTTGAAAACTGCTGTGAATAATTATGCTGGTGACTTCTATTGTGGTAATTCTGGACTTTCTTTTGTAGGAAGTTTGTAATAGCATGATTATTTGTTGTAACATGTGTATTTAGGATATTCAAAAATGTAAATAACACATTGTACATGTCCAAGTTTATTTTGTTCTTAGACTGCCAACACATTTCCCTACCTCACAGGTACAAGTCACTATTAAAGCTCCATGTCACAGATAAAAAAATGAGTAAGTCTATCATTACAACATATAACATGCAGGTGTATACAGATTTGTGTGTGTGTGTGTGTTTGTTTTTTGTATACATATATTTTTTTAAATATAGAATTTGTAAATGGCAAGAAACAGATTTATATTCGCGCACACACACACACTTACATACAAAGTAACACTGTGGGGGAGGCCAGCTGCATGATGCACACAAACTAAACTTTCATTCCAATCACTGCAATGGCATATAATAAACAATAGGAACTCGTCAACATAAAGAACTCATTCCTACACTTACAAAAATCTCATTTTCATTTATACATAATCTCTTTATTAAGGAAACTCCCACCACAAGAATGCTTTAAGAGTATATCTACCAGGCCACTATTTTGCACTGGAATTGTACTACCAGAATATTAGTGCATTTGTATTGTGCATAACCCATTGGCTGCATAGAATTTATGGTTTGTTTCAAGTGAAACAAACTTTTGTACAAAATAAGCTGAAAATTGTATGTGTCAAGAGAGGCTGCACTTCCTGCACCAATGGACTCTTAGGCCAAAAAACATGCTCCAGAGAGCATCAGACACGACAAAATTAAATGAAAGCCTCATTTGCTTCAATTTACTTTATCAGGTTTAAAAAATGGGAACCCTTGACAAGTGATAGATCAACTTAGTTATTCCACTTATGACAATTCTGTAAATTTATGAAGATCTCTTATGTTAGAAACTGAAGCACAAGAGGCCTTCATTCTAAGTCCATTAAGAACAAGTTAGCTTGACCTCCTTTGGCTTTATATGGAGTTATTGCTTTCTACTGCAAACATCTGCATATTTTGTGTTGAAGGCAACCACCACACTGGTAGGAAAAGGAGCAAAACATACAAGGTCCAAATACACTAAAATGTTTTGGCTGAAACCTTGAAGAGTACAAAACGTGAGCCTTTTTTTAAATTTTATTTTTATAATACTGTTTCATCAGCCTGCACTTTGGTATTGCCTGTGCAGCTCAGGGAACACACTAAAAGTTGACCACGCACATGCAAACACTCTTTAAGTTCATTTCGCTGTTTGTAAACAAAGAAAGGGAGCAGTAATGACTATAATAAATAAATGAATAATATGAAATAATTGCTCTAGGAAAGAGTATAACAGTAAATGTGAAAAAAAAAGAAAAGAGAGCTTACCACAAATACATCTTGTGGGAAATGTTATTTGTTAAAGCACTAACACACAAAACGTCTAGCAAAAGATATTGATCTTTTCAATTCTCCCAGAAGGAGCAACAAGAGGAAGCATAAACAGCATCTCACATACATTGTACCTTTATAACGGAAGTGATCATTGACTCCAACACTTTAGGAATTTCTTTATAAAGGAAGGAACAAAATATCAAATCACCTCCAGAACTCAGAAACACGAGTAATGGTGCAACACAAAATTTCACACACAGCTACACTGCAGAACATACACTTGTCTTTTCACTCTTCAGATGTCAACATGATTAACACATGAAGGTTATTAGGAGATTGTCAAATTACGAAAAACGAATCTGAGCACATTAATTTGTACACCGCTCATTACAATACAATTTTATACTGCCGTTCCTACATGTATGGAACACTTTTAACACAGAGGCAATTTGTAAAATCTGTCCATACAAATGTCTATAAGGTCTAGGGTGTACTTTACAATAATTTTAGAGAATATATTACTGAGAAAATACAAACTGGAGGCTTACAAACAATTTCAACTATTTCCCATTATAACCAAACCTCCTTATTGAAGATCAATTCTACAATCAAGCAAAAGTTCTCATTATCAGGACCTAACCATTAATTGAAAGCCCTCAAAGTCTGTATTGCATCAGAATTATGCTATTAGAGCACTTCTTCAGATGCCCCTATAAAGAGGGGTGTTGTTCTTTTATTTATGTATATGTATGTATATAATATAAATACATACATATATACTATCTTGCACACATTAGACTCTAAAAACTGCCAACAGTGATGAATGAACTCCAAGGAAATAAGATAACTGGCTCAGCCAGCTGTCTGGAGGAGGCTGCATATTCATACAGCTTGTGACGGGATTATTTACATGATGATGCTCCTCTTGTTCACATGCGAGATCCTTTCTGTTGCAATACCTGCACAGAAAATTGCCATAAGCATGTATCTCTGCATACCTATACATGGAGAATGGAAATCTCTTGAATCAGTGGTCTGTTAACTCTTAGTTAGCGGAAATCTATAATTCTACTCCTTTTGTTTCTTCCTACATTTTATTCTATTTTGGTTTATTTAACTCAGTGCCACAAAATTCTTATTTCAAAGAATTATTTCTACTGGTCCAAGACATTCATGTGCAATGCAATATTAGAATATTTTTTTATATTCAATATTCAAACCAAAATCAGAATTATATACACAAAAATATAAATAAACAAAATCATATCTTGGCAATTAGTACATTTTCTTGCTCAGATTGGTTTCATACAGAAAAACAAACAATGACTCAAGAGTTTATTCCCATTTCCATTACACAAAAAGTACTGATAACTTCAATTGTAATCCCCTTATTTACACTGATTTCTATGACAGAAAAGAAATTATCAATTTGTTTGATACTAAAACTAGTTATTGTGTGCTTGTTGCAAAAATCTGGCAATGTTGATGCTGGTATAAAGAAAATGTACATGCATTTGTGTTAAAAGCTTCGTGATGCCTTGATGAGTGTTTATTCAGCTTTGTTAAAATTTATTTTTCTATAATTATGCTCGAATGAAAAAGTGCTTCCTGAAATTCAAAACTATATTTAGTTCCCGAGATTCATTAAATAATTGCCAGAAGCACACTGTTTTACATTAACATCTTGGCAAATATAAAAACACCCATAACAATAGCGAATATGTTATCAAAGAAGTTGTCTTAAGGATATATTTTTAGTCATGTATAAAAATATTTTTCAGCTTCAAATCACTTGACTTCTGCAATGAATAATAATAATAATAATAATATCCAAAGTGCACAAATATCATAATACAAAATGCTACCAAAATACTATTTAGCTTCACAATCATGTACCTTCACAACTTGTAGTTAATTGTTGAATAATGAAAATATGCTTATTCTATAGTTTTTTTATCTTTCACATTAGAAAGTACAAACAATCACTTTACAATGATCAACTCTAATAACAACATCCTATTCAGTACTCACATCAACATTACTAAGAAATATTATCCTTAACACATGTGCAGAAAACACATTCCAACACTGCAATCCCCATGCTGGTTAGTACAAAGCACAAACTACAGCCAAGTACAAATATAGAATTTATTTATTCGTCACAAAGGGTACATACATAGAAAAATTCAAAGTTGATACAAATACTTCCTAAGTCTTTACAATTTAATGCACCTTAAAATATACCCACTGGTGCAAAAAATGCAACACTTCAATTCAGTAGCAAAGAAAACCAACACACATTGCATGAGACATGTCACTTTTTTTTTTATTTTGTGTTTTATAATAGTTATTAATGAAACAAGTTTGTTAAGGACATTTCAGTGAAACTTGTACGTGTTTTACACCACAAGGCCGGCAATCGAGTGCAATAAAAAGGACACTAGTTTCTTCATAATAAAACTAATGTGTATAAGTCAAACTTTTACCCATAATGATTACAAAGCTAATTTTTTATAAATAATTTTTATTATTTTTTCTATGAATATATTAAGGTAGTAATATACCTTATTTGATTCAAAGTCTTGGTAAAGGAGTGGTCTAATGAAGTATCGTGTATTATCCCCGCAAGTTTTCTTGAGCCCTCATTTCGCTAATGCCAGAAGAGTGGGGGTTCTGATTATTTTATTGACAGGGATATTATATGAAATCTGTAGCTCGTTTTTCAATTAAAACTATTTTCTATTAGACGGGAGCAAACACTTCTGGTTATCAGAGTTTTTCAACAAAAACTGTGGCTATCATTTATTCTGAATTCAACTAATATTAGTAATGGAGTGGGGGTTGCTATGCCAGGACTCAAGAAAACGTGTGAGTATAATATTAGTATTATAATAAAGCTTCTTACAGTATCCTATAATAGTGTTTATCAAATATTATCGTATAATTATAGGTAAAATGTATGATGTATTATTAGGATGTATACCCATAAAGCAACAAATGCAAAAGTAGTACACGACTGGTAACAAGTAAAGCACAAAATAAGTATGAATTTTTAGTACATTTGTACCGTGTTATTGTCATCCACTTTCACAAATGTTTGCCTGCAATGGCAATGACATTTGAGAAAGACATTTTGATCTCTTCTAATTAATTAACATTTATAAAATATTAATTCTCCTATAGAATCAAATCACATTTTTCCCCCAACCTTCCACAGGTCTCATAGAGCATCTGGATAAAGATGGTGTGCTCTTCTTTTAAAATTGTCTCACAATTGCTTAAGATTCAAATCTGGGCATGAAGGTTTTTCTGCTTAACTGAAGTACAGCATTTTTTATGTCAGCGAGTGGCTATTAATTTAATTATTCTACCAAGTTTTTCAAGTTACAATTCTTCATATTTCCACGAAAACAGTTCCAAAAACATGCACAGTTATAACAGTTGCAAAAAACACGAACAGAGAAAGCACATAAACAAAATGTAAGTACTTACTTCCCAATATTTTAATCTGTTCAACCCTGGTATTTTCAGTAAAAAACAATCCTATTAATCACAGCATGCACTATTACATGCAATGAAATAAAATTACAGAAATGTTCCAACATGCACAATCTTCATTTATAAAAAAAATAAAATAAAATTATTCTCCGATATTCATAGCATAATGATACTTCCCTAGTGCTTAACCAAAACTGCTTTTCTCTCAATGAAATTTACCTCATATATGAAAACCTGTATTTAGATGCCTATCAAGAAGAGTTTGTCTTATATTTTATTACTGAATGAAATAAAGGATTCTAAATCAATTAAATTAAATAAAGTCCGTCAAGAAACTCAATAATGAAAAACGTCTAAAAATTGGCACATAAATTATTCACAGATGTTCCATTCACTCACACCAAACATGAAAATGAAATTCCATTAAATTTAAGCTTGTTCTGATATTCATATAAGCTCTGTTAAAAAGGTATGACCACTTCTAATTTCAGTGTGCAATCTCTGAAAGTATAAGAAACATTTCTCTTCAGTTGCCTTCATTTCTCTAGATAAAATGTACTGAAAATCCTCTCCAAGCACTCTACTAATACTTTCTCAGTCTTAAATATTACTGTTTCTTTCCAGACACTTCTTTAAACTTATGAAAATTATTTACATAAACTTCACTTTTTTAATATTCAGAGTAAATTTTCAGGCTAGCACAACACACACAGGATGATTTAGTCCCAGGGGAAGCTGTCCGAAAGTTGAAATTAAAAAATTTGAATCGAGAAAATATTGAGCATGCATAAAGTGAAAGGTTTGTTATATTTTATTTCTTGTTTGATGCAGGGCTGGCTACCCAAATCATCAGTCTACACACAGCCATATAGTCAAGTCAGTTGCTGTGTGTCCTAGAGCATCTAGTGTGTAATCTAGGGTTGAGATTCATAATGTATAAGGCGATGTGTATTGTGTGCATTGAAGGGTTCTGCATAACTAATTATAATGTTCAATTGAACTTTTATAATATATAAAATATGTTTAGAATAACTACTATTTTATTAATTCTAAAGGGGAAGATGTGTCAACCATGCCTGGAAGAGTTTATTGTCACCTTGTTTCAGGTCCCTAAGTGATATGCTTTCCTTCCGAAGGGTACTTTACAGAAATGCCACATGGCAAGAGTATGAAACAAAATATTCCAGCACATTGTCGTTTAAGTAACAAGCATGAATCATCCTTTCAATCCTTTGCCAGGTTTGAAGCTGATGTATATAATCCCCAAATATTCATTTCTAGTTATTTTTTTTGTTTGGTATTAGTCTCTTGTTTAGAATTTTATTTATTTATTTGTATTATAATTTGTAAGGACAATGTATTATGCATTTGTTTTAATTGAAATGTTGTTTAATTTAATATTATGTGTGTATCACAGAAGACAGCTGCAAGTCATTTAAAAAATACTTTTACCAAAAATAAAGCAAAATGAAATTCACTTAATGACTTATTTTTATCTCAATTCAACAAATAAAAATCATATATTAAGCATAGTATTCTGATGTTTAAAATATAAAAAATACTTGTAAAATCAATCCCAGCACATATTGAAGGCAAAATAATTTTGGTCAGTTGTTTCAAAACAATACTCGTCTGAGCAATCATTTTAAAGTAAGAAATGTGGACCAAAAATGGTTGCATTACCTATTTAGAGGCAAAGAAGAGCTAATAATTACCCACCCACCTATGGTGAAGCAGCCACTAAATACACCAATTGACTACAGATTAAAACTAATACTACAGATGAGAACACAATATTGTCAGATTCTTTCATAGTTTCACATCTCAGAAGAAACTATATGGGAAAAATTAAACTTCAAAATAGTAATAGACGAAACATTTCAGTCTTATTTAGCTAAACCTTTAAATGTTCTTAAATGCAATCAATTGCAATGATTGAGAACACAACTACTACAAGAATTTCTTTCCCCTTACTCAAGCTATGTTCATTATTCTATTAGATCTCAACAATACAAAACAATATTAGATGTTTGTAAATTTTAGTATAAACGTAAAAACATATGTAAAATTCGCATGTTTTTGTGTACTAAAACCCATCAAATTTATTCAATTTTTAACTTCCTTCAATTGAATTGGCAGTTATGTAATTGTACTTAAGTAATTAATGTTTTCTCTCAAATGAAATTGCTATCCCTTGATTGGAATCCCAACAGTCTGGTAGTTCAACTGACCTACTTGCATACTCGGATGCAAAAACAATATAAAATCATTGTAGTGAACATTAATCTATGACTTGTGAGGCTATAAAACACCTTAAGACTGTAAGCACACAAATTCACAAAAAGCTGATATTTAAAAAAACAAACAATTCCTATGAATAGTTTATATTGAGCAATCGTGTTAACAGATTCAAAATCACTATAAGCAAAGACAGAAATATGGTTTATGCTATTTGAGTGCAACTTTCAATTAATGAAAATTTTTGCTCGACCTTGTATAGCACAAATTATTTATGGTACATTTGCAGTTATCTAAATCTGTAGATAATAATAATAATTCGTAAGTCATAAAGTATTGTGTAAAATTATATAGTAATTCTATTATTAATTGTCTGATGATTAATGAAAACATGTGCAAATAGTAAAAAAAAGAAAGAAAGAAGTGAGACAGAAAGTCTAGTTTGGGAGTTCGGAAGGGGTATATTAGTAGACTCATAATTGAATCAATGTACTTAAAGTTTCGTTTCACATCTACCAATACTTAAAAGTATGTCTAAAAAATAAGAGCACATTTTATTCTTTTCAGAAAATTAATACCTATAAGTGGTATCAGATGTGCAAGATCCACAAAATATTTAACAAAAATATTCTATCTTAAAAAATGGCACATTCACAACAGGACTGTACATTCATACACTACCAGTATTATTTTGAGCACTGATACCACTCTAACTTGCAAAACTTTAAAACAATCAAAATAGTAATACTTTTTATTATTGAACATTCCACATTCCAGCACCTCCACTAATAGATAGAAACATCCACAGAGAAACAAGACACACTACTACAGGAGAAGTAACTTTAGGATTAACAGTCATGATGATAACCTATGTCCCAGGTAACATTTCTGAGAAAATTGCCAGTGCAGTGTAAGTGGAGAGATTGGAAGGGTGGTAATCAAGGCAGAAGGGACATCATAACAGCTGATGCAATAAGAGCAACATCTGCATTCTGTGTTTTCTGATATTTAAAAAAATTATAAATAATAATAATCTTATGTTTTGACAAAATTCAATTATTTTATTTATGCAATTGCCCATTTATGGACCTTGGTTTGGATGTTTTTTCAGAGTTATTGTAGATGCAGTGATTTAATCATGTATCAACAGAAAAGTATATTTAATATTGTGTTTTACACTGATTCAATACATTAATGGATGCTGCTCCCGCACAGCCTTGAACAAAGTCCAAACCAAAGTCTGAAATTTCAGCATTTATTACTTAAATAAAAATATAGAATTTCTGTCAAAAGTATGATTGTTATTATTTAGAATAACAGAAACATTGCCACATGCTCATGTTATCTTAGAAATCATACATGTAGTAATTTTGATAAGACATCTACAGAAAACAAATTACAGTAGAACCCTACTCTAAGAGACATCTGGGAACCTTAAATTTCATCTATTATAAGTGGGAATTCTTTCTTTCATGCTAATACACATAAATTATATCTTTATCTAAAGTTATTTTACAATTTTACTCTTCTTGAATTGACCTAACGATTCAGGTTGAGCAATTTTTTTCTAAATTTAAATTTATTAATCTTCCCTAAGATCACTTTCAAAGCTGTAGTATGCAGGCGAAGGTCTGAGAGTCCACAAATTTGATATTCCAGTAAACAATTGACTAGAACTTAGACCAGTGATTTGTGGTTTTGATTACCTTTCATTTCAACTTTGAGGTTTCCAATAATTGTGAAGCTTTAAACAATCGGAAACTACTGCCATTCTGCATACAGTACCTGCTGCACCTGTGACGCACATTGCTGATCCAAGTCACAGGAAGTAGGCTCCTAGTTGTCTTTGCCTATTTGACGAACAGTGTCATCACAGAAGTATCAGAAAAACTATCTTTTTTGTTTTGTTTTACTAAGGACACCACAACTGTATTATCCTTATAATATTACATTGTTGATGATTCTGAGGTTAAATAAACTTCTTTTAAGAACGTTACTAAATGTAAAAATAATACATTTATATTGCATGACATTTGCCTGAAAAATTGAATATATGGCATGTGAAAGACAGCACATCAACAGCCCAGCAACAGTTCGATGAGTCCTGATTAGAGATGTTGTTTCACCCACTTCACAAAACCCTCGCAGATAAAAGATGAACTGGTGGAGTTTTATGTAGGAAACTATTGCTTCGAAGCAAAAAAAACAAGCGATTCCCTTCCTTGAGCTGGCTCAAGGGACACAGTCTCTGAATGTGTACAGGTAGTCACATTACAGTCAAGGGCATGTGTACTGGAGAGTTAATAGACAAACATTTGTGAACATTTTTATAAGTGGTTCTGCAACCTCATATGGTAGATAGAGAAAAGGTAAAATTTGAAATAAAATAAATGTGTATGTGAATATGAAATTAAAGAGTTTTCTAATGCTCTTCAAATTCCATTTGCACATTGTACACATAATACAACAGACTTGTCATTTTGAATATCATCACAATATTTGGGCGAATCACTATCTTAGAGGTCTCCAGTGATATTCAGATGCCATCCTATTGTGATTTCCAGTGGCAGGTTTATGTATTTTGCCACACTAGGCAAATTTTTTTTCTAAACTCTTAACAACATTAAAAAAATCAACGTAAAATTGTACACAAAAACATTATATTTTTAAATTTAATTTAACATTCAATAAACATCATAATCTAAAAAAAGTTGCACCAAAATTTTGCAGCTGTAAGCAAGTACCTCAGTTAACCTATCATAAATCCACCACTGGTGATTACTTCGATGACACTGTTGGGCGAGAAGCGTCTTGGTTCGTCACTTTCAACGTCACATTTGACGAGCACATCCTTAGCGTGTTCCTCAAAACAATAGGAAAGATTTTCATCTTTTACATTGAGCTAGGTTGTTTAGGAAGTGTATTTTCGCAGGCAGGATTCCCATCTGTTTATTAGGCAATCTCTGCTAAGGAGACAAATTGTTTTGGAACTAATAATCTGGATATTAAATGCTGAAAACTGTTACAAACAAGTTTCTTACATGCAAGAACCTAATATCCCTAATTTACACGTAGACGCTTGGGTCAACTCATGCTGCCTCCTATAATCGGGTTCTACTGAAGTTTTGTTCTGATGAATCTCAGGGCAGCTTTGGTGAGGAGAATAACCCTGCACTGTGCTAAATGTAATTTGCATAGTGGCAATGTTGAAGCAAATTCTTGCAACATGTCAGTCCTAAAGAAAAATCTCCCACAGTATAGGGACAGGAAAATCATGCGAGCATGCCAGGCACCTTGGCTCTGTCAGTAGGTTCAGCTTCTTTTGCATCAACTGAAGACGTTCCATATTCTCGAGATACAACACACAGAAATTCGGCATGATCTTCATTTCCATAATTGTACTGGGATCCAATATTGATCAGCTGCAAAACACACACATTGATAAAATAGTAAGATTTGTCACAGGTCTTATACATTTTTGAATTTCACAAATGCTTCTAGAAAATACTTGAATTCCATTTACAAATAATTTTGGATCTTCTATGAGCTTTCATTTCTCATAATACTGCATTAAATGTAACACTGGGCATTACTAATACTACATTATTGATGGTAAAATAACCATTACGCCAACTGGTCACTTCCCTAAAAGGAAACTGTCTATTCATTGTTCAAATACAATTGTTATTTCTTAACACAAAACTTTTTAACAAATAATTGTTTTTTTACTTTATTTTTTTTAACATTTTGAAGCAAATTTCATTTTATAGTTTCTAGACTGATCATTAATAATAAATAATTTAATTTTAAAGAATTTACCAGACCAAATTAATTTTATGATCGTTATATTTTACAACTTTATTGTTTCCGTCCAATAGAATGTCTCAATCAAAATACTCTTCAAGGCTGTTTTTAATTTGTCATGCAAGTACAACAAAAACTATGAGCAATCAATTACATTTTAATGAAAATTAACTCTACTTAAACTAATTATTCATTTACTAGAATTTTATGAGAGGCCAATTATCACTTACTAAAAATTAGTGAGAGCAGCAAATAGAAATGGCTATTATTAAAGAAAGAAGATTCACCAGAGAGGATATAGAAATGGCTATGGGATAATGTTTATAAGTTTGCCAATGATTATGTGAATAGCAGATGATTTCATGAACACATTGCAGATAAATAAGAGAATATACAATTATATCTAATCACAAAACTGAATTAAGCAATGTTTCCATAACTAATATTCCAACAAGTCAGAGCAAAACAAACATACTCTTCTTAACAATGTAGTACAAAATTAAAATATTTAATTTCATACACCCTAAAAAAAAGGAACTTAAAAGAGTATAAATAATATTTTTAAAAAAACGAAATCTATATTTTGTAATTATAATTGATAATTTTAGCAATGTCTCCCACTCATTTATCACATTCCAACTAGTTAAACAGTGTTATTCTCACCTGCTCAAACTTCCATCCATCAGACATTGTTGACACCATCTGTGTCAACTCATCTTCATGACATTGTATTACACGATATACATGTTTCTTTGAGTCTTTCAATGGCCGGTTGTCTCTCAGACATATGCGTTCTTTTATCAAACGAATAAGTTCAGTAATATTATAAAATTCTGCTTCCTCCAGCACACCTGTACAATTTAATAGATAATTATTTCTCCTAAATTAGTCTGACATTAAGTAGGTGTCATTCTTTATAGCATAACCCACTCACCCTCTTCAACAAGGTCTTTATTAATTACTAGTTTTCCATGCCTTAAGTAATTCAACACTGGACTGAAGTAAGTCGGATCTCTGTCGATGAGATATGCACCTGTCTCGTCCTGCAGATAGGAGAGGTGTAACAGAACCAATAATCTGTCAACAATATTCAACAAAATCACAACTCAATGAAAACATTGAACTTACTCTGTCAGATATTAAGTCCGAATCTTCTTGGCAAAGGCGAAAAAGAAATGAATTTGGATCACGAGAGAGCGTTGTTTTTGTAGTTAAAAAGTACGTTCCACCAACGTTTAAACGAACCCACTGCTTAGTTCGCCTCGTTATGTTATTTTCTTCCACTTCATGTGAGTTTGTATCACACACATCCGCCATGATGCCAGTATTGTGACAAGTGTGTTGTTATCTTTCCTACTGAGCACAAAGATGGAGAAAGGGAAAAAATGAACTATGCAATCTATTCACGTTTAAATAGAGCAAAAATATATTCATGTAATTACATTCCACACATCTAAATAAGTATACTTTCGAATTCTGTATTTCGCTATGCAGGAACTTGGGGTCGGAGATTAAATACCGCCATCTTTCTGAAATATCGGCAGTCATTTTTCTCCAGTGTTATTGCGTAGATTTGTGTGCTACATTTTGGTACGAAGCGAAATGCCAGTTAAAGTGGATATTGTGCCACCCCCACCTGCAAATTCGAAACAGCCTGGTGTCACGAGATCTTTATTATACAATGGTTCTAAATTCCAGGGTCATCAGAAGTCGAAAGGGAACAGTTACGAAGTGGAAGTTGTTTTACAGGTTAGAATATTTTTCAGTCTCTCTCTTCATTGACAGTCGCCTGATTTAAGAAATTGTACAAATCAGAGTTACATATACGTAGAAATATACTTAATGGTATATAATATATTCATTTTAAGTTAGTCATCACATATTTAGCAATTTGAATAGTTACCCCATTGTCAAGTTATTGGCTAACATACTGTTTGTAAGATCAGTTTTAATTTGCTTTTCATAGAAAGCTTAAAGTGGTATGCCTTTCATCACAGAAGTGTATAAAATTCTGCATAAATTCAAAGGTTGAATACTTCACCCAATATCTTTTCACATAACCATACTTGCCATACGTTGGTTTGACAAATTTCCTGCTTTCTTTTATCTTAGCATGTTGACGAAGAAAATTCATATCTCTGTGGATATTTAAAAATAAAAGGACTGACGGAAGAATTTCCAACATTGACAACTTTCTTTGACGGTGAGATAATAAGCAAGAAATATCCGTTCTTAACTAGAAAATGGGAAGCTGACGAAGATGTAGACAAGAAACATTGGGTACTTCCTTCTCTCTCAGTGCATGCTTTTCTAATTCTTGACATATGTACAGTTTTTGATAGAATGTGTCTTTTGTTTGTTTTAGAGTAAATTTAACTCTTTTTATCAATATGCCAAAACATTCAATTCTGATAGTTTTGACTATGAAGGATTGAAATCAACAGATTATGTATTTATGAGATGGAAAGAGCACTTCTTAGTTCCTGATCATACTATTAAAGATATCAACGGTGCTTCATTTGCTGGTTTCTACTACATCTGCTTCCAAAAGTCTGCAGCTACCATAGAAGGGTATTATTATCATCGAAGCTCTGAATGGTATGAATTTAGTTATACTCAGTTTACCAGTTATCAAATGTTGTTTTGTAACAGAATGGAAGCAGTGTTAAAAACAAATATTCATAAATGTATACTTTGTAACTTAAAAAGGAGATACATACTTCTACAACAGCTAATTGCATATTTAAGTATTTTCCATGCTTTTTGCAGGTACCAATCATTGACCTTAAGTCATGTTCCAGAGCATAGCATACAAATCTACGAGTTCAGGTGAAACAAGAACTATCTTACGAAACCAGTCGGTATGAACTTTGAACCTACCCCAACGATGTAGCGAATTCCCCGGTAATTTTTTGTGTGGGTGAATAAATGAAGATGCAAGATAATTTCTGTGCACTTGTATAAGAAACTGCATGAGTGAATCTCCTAATTTTTGCTTGTACAGTGTTAAAACCGTTTTTGTGAAAATGTTAATTTAAGAAAATTGTTGATTTATTTGGCAGCTATTTATATATTATATATATATAGAGAGAAAGAGGAACATTTTACTTTCTTAGTGATGCGTTACTTCTAACCTGTGCCCTGTTATTAAAGCAAGCTACAATGACTTATTAAAAATGCTATTTATTATCCTTTGTATATTCTTGCTAACTTATCTTTTGTAATATAGCTTATGTACTATAACGGTGTCAATGGATTTCTTTTCATTGTATTGGTGTACTGTTGCAAATCACTCACAACCCGCAGGTCGGGTATGAATACACAAGCTTTCTTAGAACCACTTTAATTGCTTCTTATATGCCAGGACAAAAAGAATTGTGGCAAAAACTGAATATAAAAGTAACCGCTCTACAGCTACAGTTATTAGTCAAATGTGGTATGCACATATTACAATGGACGGTAAGAATGTATTGAAAATATGTTATTACATTTTGTTAATGCATGAATTATGAAAATGGATGGATTTGTAAAAGTGAAATCTTGCAACACAAAAATTATACATATGTCAATAAAATTATCCTGTTTCCTATGTAAAATCCATTTCTTTTCATTGATTCATGGTGATTCCTTATTGGAAGAACACTATCAATGCAAGAGAAATTTCCCATAAAGTAAGCATGAAAAGTTACTTGTAAAAATACACAATTTGACTCGGAAACATCCTTTGCATTGAATGTAATGACACACTTGTAAACAACCTCAGACTCAGCTGCTGCACAAGCGAGTGCACTTCCAGGCCTGGGATGAGGCCCCATCAAGTTCACTTTGGTAAAACTTCACACATGGTTACGAACAAAATTCACATCCATTCACAATTAATATCTACACTCTTAACACAAGCACTGTACAAAGTATATGGGTAAAAAAAGTTCATAATACAGCATCACAGGGAAAACAAGTGTACTTACAAAGGGACACATACAAACGGGCACACATACACTTACAAACACACTGACAGCACACAAAAACACTGAATTTAAAAAAGGAAGTTGTCCATAAGTCTGATATAGAGTGCGACTAGTGCACCAGTAGTACATAAACCCAATAAACAAGTTCAACTTGAAACATTTCTCAATTGGGTTCATGAGATCACACATGAATTGCGTCCAGTACATGATGTGTGCGCAGCGTCTACAGCAGGAGTACTGCCTGGGCTGGGAGTTGCTCCTGTCCCAGGAAGTGCCACAAAGCGTAGACGCTTGTGTGGACCTGCCCGGCTGCCACTAGGGAGAAAATGTCGTTGCTGTAGAGCTGATGCAGAATAGCTAGTCATGGCGTATGACTTCAAATGTGACTTGACTGATGGTGGCAGAGGGAGTTGATCAATGCTGTAAACATTGGTTCTAGCCACAATAGCCCGACAGCACAATTCTTGCAGGCTCAGCACTGGAACAAGAACAACACAAAATGTTATGCTTGGTGCTTTCATAGGAAACGAAAGTAAACTTTTAAAATAGATTAAGAGATATAAACTAAATCTATTTGTATTTTATTGTTTTAAATGTGAAGTGTAAAATTTAGACAAAATGACCATTAGGAAATCCCCACTAAGTCATTTCTTTGTAACTCGAAATAATCTTTAAATACCAATATTATTTGCTCTCGGTGCCTGCCTGGTTCACCTGTTACTCAATAAATTGCTGAAAATCTTGATCACAATTTTTTACAAATACCATCATTCTTGAAAGTTCAGATTGTTAATGCAATGTTCATGACACAAAATATACATTCTCCCAAATTCCTATTTTTATAAAATGAGACTTTTTTATTTAATCACCAGGAATGATCATGATGAACTGTACCAAGACTGTTTTGGTGAAAACGGAATATCTTCCTCCTTAATACATTGAATTATTGATCATGTAATTTTTGTAACAGTTAAACAATATAATTCTAAATGAACCTGCAAATGTATTTACAGCCAGTGAAAAAGAATTTCACCACTGTAATTCAAATTCTGATTATTTGAGTTAACACACAGTCAGCCTCACAGTTTAAACTCTACCCCCCCCTCCCACCAGATGTTTAAAAAAATTGATTATTTGCAATTTTAAAATTTAAGATATTTTTTTTATCTCAAGATCTAGTTTTCATTACGGAAAAAAATCTCTATCAAAATATTATACTTTTACAATGTTAAATTTTGTTTGTAATTTTCGAAAATCTAGGGAGTCCGCGGAAAACGGGTTCCACGCCGTTTGCTCTCTCCAAGGGGCGCGGGGAAATTAAGATGTTTTATAAATTGCCTTTACTTCAAAAAAAAAGGCGAAAATACTCTCGCCCGCAAAAAAAAAAAAAAAAAAAAAAAAAAAAAAAAAAAAAAAAAAAGTTCATGACTGAGATTTTTTCTTTAATATGTTCAAAAAAATTATCTTTAATCATCAATATTGTACTTCTGAAATTTTCGAATTTACAGGCAGTTCGCCGAAAGTCGGTCTTGGGCAATGTTTCCGAGCGTTTAATGATCTAACCAGGGGAAGGAGAAGAAAAAACCACCGTAAGAAGATCGGACACTCAAGGCATTTGGAGGGTTATTGCAATAAGTGTCTTGTTTAAGGAAAATCTTTTGTAAATTGTGCCATATTCATCAGAATATTTAATATTATTTATACTAATATTATTATCAATATATAAATATAATATATAGTATATATATCTAATACTTAGTTATTATATTAATATATATTAGTTATTATACACACACACACAAACATTTTTATCACTAAGATCAATGTGAACTTTGCAAGTACAATGAAGAAGGGAATGAGAAATTAAAGCAGCAGTAGAGGTAGTATGATTAGAAAAGAAAGAATAAGGACAAAGGGAACGTTGGAAGCAGTTCAGAACCTGCAGATAGTTTAACTTGTCCACGAAGGGTCGTGCCATTGCTTTATTTTTAGTCACAGTTAAACTGTCCAAACTTTACAGTTTATGATCTAATCAGGAGCAAGGCAGAAAGCTACCTCTGGTATGAAAGAGAAGAAAAGCGGATGTTGAAAGATAACTTGTGGGCGTATAACAAAACATCTTTATCGCATTATTTGTCACTGTAGAATAATACTACTTTACCCCACAACCCGCAAAATCATCTGACTAGGCTCGTCCCGGTCAGCTAAGAACCATAGACGTCAAAGGGTCTTCATGTAAAGAATCCACCCCGTCTCAATTAAAGTATCTCAATAATCACCGGAAAGGGCTTAATTAGATCTTACTCTTGACATGTTTACCAAGCCTGATCTCAAGTGCTTTTAATCAGTTATGGGTGACACATTCTTCCATCCATTCCGACATCCCGGTTTGCGGGTACAATACTGTTCATCCTGGCACCCATCTTAACCACCATAGGAACAGCACTATTAGGCGAAAAACATACGAACTTCCTAATGTTTGGGCTCAAAATAGCATGTATTTCCTAGTTTCTGCACCAATCTCTACTATCTTTAGAACATCACTAATATACCTTAATCCCGACGTTTGAGCAAAGGTAGATATCTAAATAACGTTAAACGAATTTTTAGGGCCAAAAATGCCTGATCGTATTGTCGAGGTGGTTCCAATACTTCATTTCCCTCTACTATAGCATGGGAAAAAAGTAAACATTTCTGTCGAGTTTCCCCCATCTCCGGGCATCCTCAAAATGAAATTCACGGCGCAAAATCAAAAACTGAAAGGTGTAGATAGCAGTGGCGAAGCTGAAGGATAATCTGGGAGACTTACAATACCCAAATAATTTTAAAAAAAATCAGTTGTGTGTGCTTTTTTTCAACATTTTTTAAAAGTATTAAAGAATATTAAATGGCTTCGTCTCCTTTTCCCCCGCGTACTGGGAGGGAATCCGCAAGGCCGCTCGCTGAGCCTGCTTGTGAACAGACGTCGGCTGGCTCTGTGGCGCATGCGCACAAGGGGCGTGTGCTATCTCTCAAGGCGGCTCCACACATTGGGCATTCGCCGAGCAGCGAGCTACTGCTCGTCCAATCCCGAACAGCCGATGTGTACGGCGAATGTTCGCTCCCTTTGACACGCGGTGGGTAGGGCGAATACCGAATGTTCGGCGCCCGGCGAATAGCAAGCAGGCCGTCCGCACTACTCGGAATTCGCCGAATGTCGCAGGTGTGGAGCCGCCTTCACACACTACAATGACAGGGTGGCAGACAGACTAGGCTCCCGGCGCAGACTTCAATCGCGCTGCACGTCCACGCCCCAGCCCCTAAAGTAAATTCGCCACATCTCCTTAACGTTGTGGGAAATAGGAGCGAGTTGTTTGTGTGATGTTTGTTATTCGTTATTTCTTTATGGAACAATGAATGAAGCTGCAGATTTAGTGTTATAGAGAATGTCCCACCGCTTCTGGGCCACTCCAGCTTCTAATCGCAGACGCAAAACGTTCACGATATAGCAGATATACTTAGTAATATGCTGTATTAGGGAGGAAAAGACTATTAAACTAGACCAACGCAGACATAGAATGAACTTTTCAGGAATTAAGAATATTAAGGAATGTGGTGTGTGATGGTGTGTGGTGTGTGTGTGTCTATAAATTAAGTATATATATAATATATATATTAGTATGTATAATATAATATATAATATATAGGTTCTTTTAAAATGTTTCACAACAGAAGTAACTCGGATGGAATAATATCGGTTTGAAGGTTTTGAAAACTTTCATTTTATTCAATTTATTAACGAAAAGCAGTTTTCCATTTACAAAACGTCCTTTCGCTCAGAAAAGTTAACTTTCTTAATAAAACAATATCCATTATTGGACTGTGATCAGCTTCGAAATAAACTGACAAATACATTCACTGATAATGCAAAATACACGTCTGCAGATTTGTTGCTGAAGTATTTCTTGGACAATGGCCTAGAAAAAAAAATATCAAGGTATTGTTCAGTTGATACAACTCAGTCTAACGTGCCCTGTATCTACAGCATTATGTGAAAGAAATGTGATGTCATTAAAGAGACTGAAGACATTCCTATGAAATTCGATGGGAAATAGCAGCCTCAGTAATTTGAGTACAGTGGCTATTGAAAAGTGTCTGCTAAATGAACTTACCAGAGTCGACAGCCTTAAAAAAACGAGTTATTAATGTGTTTGCTGAGCAGTAAGTCCGATGAATGGAGCTGATATACAAAAACGTGGAAGGTACGATTTTCACAATACCCAACTCCATGGCTCTAGCACTAAAATCTTGTTCTATTTACATTTCCAGTCAATACGATCCGACAAGAAATCTCCCCAAAGAGCGGGCCGTCCGAAGTGGAGGCTTTGGATCTGGTGTAGATCGGAACCGCCAACCCTTCCCTCAGCGCCACAAACGGGCGTAACTTCCCGTAAGTGGAGTGGGGAGGCGAACGCCATGGGAAGAGCGTCTCCGCGGAGTTCAGTGACCACCATGTTCCAGCACACCCGCGTCCAAGTCCCAAAACTGACACAGGGTAGGCACGCGTGTGCCGAGCGCCAGCAGGGGGTCGACTAGCTCCTGATGGAAACCAGCACCGGCCTCCAGTAATTCGGCGCTATCCACAATCGAAATACATCAATAGTTGAGCAGTGCCAGGTCCCGTCGGAAGGCCTATGAAAAGAGTTCACAATAGCTTCATAGAGGGCAAGCTAAGGGACTTACCCGTAGCTCCTAACAGTGGTAACGCCCGTAACTCCCTAAAACTGGCAACGACCGCTAGAGAAACCCTAGTTTCCTGACGAGCTCCAAGCCACCCCGGACCGCTTCGGTGGCACGGGGAAAATGCGAAGACGGGGGTGGCCAGAGGTCGTCCCGCCGACCAAGGCCGCGACGTGCCCGCGTCGTTAGCGCGGTCCGTGGTAGATGGTTTCTGCACACGACCCCATCACTCTGGCACGTCAGAGGAGACGGAAGCCTACCCGCCCGATTCCCGAAGTAGGCACTAGATTAAGGCGGCCCGGCGCGCCGTCAACGCAGAAGAGAGAGAGTCTTGCCTTCTCGTGTAATTTATTGATTGATTGGTGATTCCGGGCGCGATTATCTACTAAAGCCATCAGTCCGTTCCGTAAGTGTGGAGCATGTTTTCCTCGGGTCTTCCCCCGCAGGATGGTGAGATTCGGTGCCGACTAGCGGTCAGCTCTTAGCTCCCGACATGTGTGGTAGTATAGTGCGTGTGTAAGTAAGATGTAAAGAAAGGGCAAGGAAGATGAAGGAAATATCGCCTGCGGTCCGTTTCTTAGGGTACTGCTCCGGTATTCGTCTGGTGTTGATCAGCAAAAACACCGATCAGAGCAATCGACACTAGAAGTCTCCTCCAGACGGCGACTGAATTCGGCCGAGCTCACAAGCTAGTGACGAAACTCCTGTCACCGTCGGGACTCGAACTCAGAACCTCCCGGTCAGAGGCTACCTCTCTCG